GGGGCGGGCCAGCTTGGCACCGGCTTCCCTCCCTCTCTCCCCATCCGCGGCGGCGGCGGCGTCAGCAGTGGTAACAGATGAGGGTTCCAGAAAAACAGCGCCTCTCCACCCCCGGCAGACAGGGCGCAAACAGCCTCTTCCGCTGCCGCCAGCCCTCCCCGCCCGTTCCACCTGCAGTCCTCCCTCTGTCCCCACGCCGGGCCGCGCAGGCACTCCGCGGGACGCTGGGGTCCCGCCCGCCAGTGGGACCCCGACCAGCGTGGAGGGGGAGCTCCGGGGCCCCCAAGGGCTCTCTGCTGCCGAGGTTCCCGGGCACCCCCCCAGCCACAGGCTGCCCGCCCCGCCCCGCCCCGCCCCCAGCTCCTTCCCGCCGGCCCCAGGTGGCTCCTAGGAGGCTGCGCCACCGCCAGCTGAACTTTGGAGCAGGATCCGGGCCAGGGCCAGTTTCCCCACGCTGGGGTCATCGACCCCCTCTTCCCTCAACCTTCAGCCTTCCCAGGGCAACGGCCCCCCACCGCTGGCCCCAGCCCAGCCCTTTCCCAGGCCAGGAGGCAGGACCCGGTCCTGCTGGGAACCCAGGTCTCTGGAGCTGAGTCCACCGCCCACACCCCCTGGGGAGCACTAAGCTAGCCCTGAAGGATGCCATTCCTGTGGTGTCATCCCTGGCCTCCCATGACTTCCCAGGGACCTGCAGTCCCCGAAGGAAATCCTGCAGCCTCCCAGAGCCAGGATGCCTACAGAACCAGCCCTGCCCCCTGGCTCGTGCAACCTCAGCCACTGACTCTGCCCAAGGGTACCACAGGCCATTTGCACCTGCTGGAGCCTGGCTTTCTCACAGCCCTACTTCTGTCCTAAGGGCTGGGCTTAAGTGCCACCTCATCAGAGAAGGACAGGGCCACCAAAGACATCACACAGAGACGTACTGTGTCTGAGGCCCACTGTCATCTGAAGTGGGGGGTGTGTACCTGCACCCCAAGCATACCCAATGGCACAGGCTGCCAGTGTGCACTGTGGCCTGGGTTCCCCAACCCACTCTGACTTCTAAGGAAGCCGTGTGGCTCTCGGGAGCCGGGACAGAGGAACTGGGAAGTGAAACGCCGTGGCCGGAGGGAGGGTGGCAGTGGAGGTGACAGTGGCTCCCACAGGGTGGCAGGGTGGGGGCAGGGCCTGGGCCTGGGGGTCCCTGCTCCCCTCCTCCCTCAGGCTCAGGTCCCCACCTGGGCAGCTCTCCCCCCAAGGCTGTGTCCTGCGGGTGCCCCCACTGGCCCCTCAGGGGTCACCCTTGACCCCAGAGCCCTGGACAAAGTGGGGCCTGCGAGACAGCGCCCCCACGCTCCCCTGAGAAATGCACTGCAGAACGAAAACTCTCGCGCCCTGGGCTACGGGCGCAGAGGCCCCAGCACCCGCCCGCAGGCACTTCCACACGGAAACCCATGGTGACCCCAGCAGGTCAACCCAGCACCCGCCTTGACGCCCACCTGCCGCGTGCTTCACCCCGCTCCTGTGCCCACCCTGCTCCTCCTCTCCTGCCACCCCTGGGCTGCCCCACACCTCCGCCCACGCCGGCCCAACCTCAGGACTCTCCCATGGGCCACGGCGGCATATGGATCCCCCCAGCGTCCCCTCTCCAGCCCTGGGCAGTCCCAGCCCGACAGGGACGCTGGCCCCAGGCACGGCACCAGCCCAGACCACAGGCCCCACCCCGCCCATCCCCGGAACCCCTTGCCCAGGGCATCCGCCACAGCCCCACACACTGACCCCTGGGCCGCACTGCCCCGGCTGACTGGGCAGGCGGGCAGGAGCAAAGAACGGTGGCCAGGGCTCACCACCCCTCCCAAGTCTCAGCCCCCCGCTGGCCCGTGCCTGGCTGCCCAAGGTTCCAGGGCCTAGCTCACCCCACCCTTGCCCTGGGCCCAGGAGGCCCATCCGGCTCCGAGAGCTGCTGGGCGCCCTGCCGGCCGCTGGCTCCCGGCCACCCAAGGAGGTGGGGCTGGAGGCTCCTGCTCAGCGGGTCAGGACTCTGAGCCAGGCCAGGCCGACCTTTCCCAGGGGACCTGGAGGCCCTTGCCCGGCAGCACCTGCCGCCCCTCCCTCCCTCGTGGCGCACAGCCCAGGCAGCCAGCCAGTTCCCTGGGGCTGCCCGGTTACCAGGGAGGCAGCTTCCTGCACAGGCTCTGTCCCCACCCAGGGTGAGCCCGGGGCAGCAGCCTGGCCCCCGCACAAGCGGGGACCCTATGGCCCTCCTGCTCCCTCTCTGTCCCTTAGCACAACAGCAAAGCCCACTCTGCACCTCTGTCTCTCATCCTCAATCTTGGGGTCAGCAGCTGCTTGTGCCACACACCACTCTGCCGCAGGCCCTTTGCACGTGCTGTTCCCTTCCCTCCTTCTGCCCTGGGGCACAGCATCCCAGCCCAGCCCAGGGAACCACTTGTTCAATCCTCATATCTCCTCCATTTCCACTCTGCACCTGCAGCTGTGTGACCTCAGGCAGCTCACTAAACCTTTCTGGGCCTGTTTTCCTCTTCTGAACAAAGACAATAATAACAAAGGTCAGTGGGGATGAAGTGTCTTTGCGCACGTGGTGAAGTAGCTGACACTCAGGATGTGGGAGAGGCTCGGCCGAACTACCTAGTGCTATTTGGTACACTCCAGGCTTTAGGCTGACATGCACTAATGCGGACGAGGCCCCCAGCACCCCACCGGCACCACAGGGGCTCCCCGAGACAGGGCCGGCTCCTGGCGGAGCACCCCCACCCTGCCAGGCTGAAGGACCACGAAGCCACCTGGCCAGGCACAGCTGCTGCCGCATCCTCGCCGCGCTGCGGGCGCCAAGGGCGGGGGGGCGGCGGGGAAGGGGTCTCGGGGCGCTGCACCTGCTCCCACCCCCGCCCCCGCCGCGGGAACACGCGCCGCCCTCGGCAGCCGCCTGCACCGCGCGGTAATTGTCCAGATTGCTGTCATTCCGGGCACAGCACACTGGCGCTGAGCTCAGGCGTCCTCACAAATGTCACCAGGCAGGCTTGAGCGGCTCCGGTTCGCAGCTCGTGGGCAGCCCGTGAGCTCAGCACGGCTCCACAGGCCCAACCTTGAGGCCACACGCACCACCCAAGCGGCGACTCAGCCTGCAGCCTCCCCCTCTCGCTCCCAGAGGAAACGGGGACGGGCCCCGAGGACTACGGCAAGGAGCCGCAGGCCCGGGGCGTCCGGGCAGAGACCCAGGACCTCATACCGGTTGAAAATTATCATAAGCTGGCAGCACCCAACACTGGGAGGCTGAGGCAGGATGACTGACTTCAAGGCCAGACTGGGCAATTGAGTGAGTTTCTGGCTGGCCAAGACTATACAGGAGACCCTGACTCAGAAACCCACAAATCACACACAACGACCAATCGCCACATAATTACACTTTTTACTTTAGGCCTCCTGCATTTTTCAATTATTTTAAACAAGTAAAACACGTTTCAAAATTCATGCTAGCTGCACATGGTGCCGCAGGCCCATAATCCCAGCACCCTGGGAGGCTGAGGCAGGAGGAACGTAAATTCAAGCCTGGCCCGGGAAACTTAGTGACTTAGCAACTGACACCCCCTGTCTTGGAACTTTAAAAGAGCTGGGGACACAGCTCAGAGCCAAAGTCCTGGGTTCGCTGTAAAATAATAATCACCAGGCAGTCACAGACGCACGTTCACGGCGGCGGCATACACAGCACACAACATACACATACTGGCCATCGGCCACGAGGCTCAGGACGGCTCTGGGCACGCAATACCACTGCAGAAGCAGACACAAAACGCCACCCGTAAATGCAACCTCATTCTCACACGCCAGGGAAGGTGGCCCCTGGGGTGGCAGGGCGCAGGGATAGGGCACAGCGAACGGGGGAGGGCGTCTGTCCCTGCATAGCATGAGGGTGGCCAAGGGAAGGGTGCATCAGGAGACGCGCTGGGGACTGTGGTCTCCTTGGATCTGTGCCGCCCGGGCACATCTGACTCCAGGCCCCTCCGCAGCCCTGCCCAGGCGGCGGCGGGGAAGGTGACCGCAGCTCCCAGCTGCTGCAGGACGACTGCCTCGCGTGCCTGGCCCGCCCGGACAGGACCCCTGTCCCTACGGGGGGCCACCCTGACCCCGCTCTGGTTCTGAGCCCTGGGTGGTGCTCAGCCACGGCCCGTGGGCCTCTGCCCGTGACATGGGGACAAGGACAAGACCTTGCGCAGGGAAGGGGAAGCCAGCACCGCCCGGTTCCAGCGTTGCTGGAAGTGCTGCTCCGTGCTGGGGACAGTACTGTGTGGGACAAGTGCCTCCGGGGGGCACGAGAGGAGGAGGGCGCCTACTCACCACTCACTGGGAGCTGGCCGGGCCCGGCAGGCTAACTGCCACCCTGGACACCAGTCACCTCTACAGACGGCTGACCGAGGCCAGGAAGCCAGCAGCAATCGGGCAGCGGTTCCCCCAGGCCCCGCTCCTCGCTGCCTGTCACAAGGTCACCAGGAGACCGAGCACGGCCTCTGCTCTCACACCTACACCCTGGTCCCCATGACACCAAACTCAGTCTCAGACCCTGGAGGGGACTGGAACAACCACTCCCGCCGCAGACGCCACGCTGCTCCACACCGGCAGCGCAAAGGTCGGGGCCGTCCGTGCAGTCGAGTCTCCCGCACACACCCTCGACCTCCGCGTGAGGCGGGGACACCCCTGCGGGGAGCGCTCTCAGCCCGCCCCCCGCCGAGCTCCCAGGAGCAGCATCGCCGTCGCGTGCTCAGGGACGGAGGCGCTGGCACAGCGGGTACCAGCGGCCACTCCCGGTGTGGGGACGGCCACGGCGGAGCCGCCCCAGCCCCGCGCCGCCCAGGCCTCACCTTTCTTGGCCGTCTCCATCTCCTCCTCCGTCCAGCGCGAGCTTTCGTTCATCTCCAGAGAAGCTGCAAAGGGACACGGCTGTTGGCGGGAGCCCGAGGGGCCATACTCCGCCTCCTGTGGTGCCCGATCCTCCAGCCGCCTCGGCCCTGCCACCACCGTCCGCAGGTGGGGAGACTGAGGCAGGCAAGGCCCGTGGCCATGGCAGCTGGCTCAGCCTGCACTTTGCGGGATGGAGTGGCCCACAGGGTGACACAGTGACCATGTGGGGGGCATGAGGGCAGGAGCGTCCCTGTGTCCCCGGGGTCGAGTCTGGGGGTCCTAGCTCCCTCTGTTCTGGGGTCCGCCCTGGGCACGGCAGGGTGACGGGCACCTGCGGACCCCTATGCTAAATGCCAGCTGACCACTCAGTGTGTCCCCAGACGTCTCCACCTGTCCAGGAGCGACACCGGCTCTCCTGGCCAGAGAAGGGCTGGTCACGTCTCTGTGTGGCACCATGCCCGAGCCTCCCCTGCAAGTGCCCCGGATGTGGGCCCAGCCCGTCCCGTCCATCCCTTCCGGTGGCTCAGGGCCATGAGGAGGTGCCACACGGGGACAGCTCCAGGGATCAGCGCCAGGCACAGCGTAAATACTCGGGCAGGAGGAAATAACAGGTCAGCAGCTAGAGCCAGGACAGGGGATAGTCCCCATGCCCACACAGCCTCCCCGACCCTGCGGCCAGGAGCTGCAGCCGTGAACAGATCCCCCGACCTTCGGGATGGTCCTGCGGGACCCCGGGGAGGCTGGGGCAGGCTCTGCAGGGGCAGAAGGTGCTAGGACAGGGCATGGGATGGGGGACCCGCGTGCGTTCCACCTGCAGCCCAGGCCCGTGTGGACCTGGAGCCCGAACGCACCAGTGCAGATGGCAGGTGAGCCAGGGTGTCAGCAAGCGAACACCCACAGGCCAAGCGCATCTGTGACTCCCCAGGCACAAGGCCCCTTCTCTGAACCCCACGGGGGCCCGGGCTGCGACTCTACAGCAAGCTGCAGACGCATGCCGCTGCCCCCTGTGGCTGGGCTGGGGAACTACAGCTGAGGGGGTTTTCCTCCCTAGCTTGGGAGCGGAGCAGATGAGCACCCTCTGGGTAGGAGAAAAAGCGGCCCACGCCTGACACCTAGCAGGGTGGAAGGGAGGGTCCCACGGTGCCCACCAGCTGCAGCCCATGGAAATCAGGGTGGCTGATGGGCTGAGGTGGGCCCACTCCCAGGCCCACTTCTAGGCTCTCCCCACACCCGCGCCCCATGGCCAGGGCAGCCTCTGCGATCTGCCCGTGGGGAGGCTGAGGCGGCCGGTGTCCCCACGCCCCTCTGCCCCTGCCCCTCACCCAGCTCGGCGCTCTGCTGCGGGGTGGCGGCCTCATCACTGTTGGCTTCGCTGGCCATGGAGCGTGTGATGCGGCCCTTGCGCCGGCCTTGGCTGTTCGCGGTTTTGCGGCCCTTGGAGGCCACCGCCTCCCTCTCATCATTGTCCTCCCCGGAGGTGTCGTCCGTCTTCTCCCTGAAGGCCGGAAGGGCGATGGAGATGCACTCGCCGGGCCAGGACGCCGCGCGAGGTGGGAGGGCAGCCCGTCTCCAGCTCTGGGGGCTCCCTGCTCCCCACTCAACAGAGAGGAACAAGGCGAGGCTGGGGGGCCCGCTGAGAGCTCAGGTAGGGCCGTTGCTCAAGACCCGTGATCCCGGCTTACGCCTCAGGGGAGGTGGGAGCCACTGACTGCTTCATGTGCCAGCCAAGGCCGGGCTTGCTTCCCCCCTGGGAGGAGCTGAGAGCGTTCTGCAAGGTACACTGCTCCCCTGGGGGACACGGGCTGGCGTCTCTGTGCAAGACACTCCCGTCTGCAACAGCACTTGACGAGCGGAAGGGGGTGTGGCTGGTAGCAACCCCAAGGCCGCTCTGCTGCCCAAGGGGATGCCTTCCAGAGAGCTCTGCAAGCAGCCATGCCCCGCTCTGGGTACCCCCGTGACCCTCGGGGACACTCTGCCGGCTGCTGCGCCAGGCCCAGGTGCGCAGGCCCGGACCTCTGTCCCCAGACTTTCTGGGGAGTCGGCGCAGGTGGCGCAGCTTGGGCGGCTCCCGCCTCCCCATCTCCCCCACAAGGCCTGGTGGGAGGACGGGCAAAGGCTCCCAGGGCGCATTCCTGGGCCGCGGCAGGTACCTGGTGCGCAGAGGGCCACCCCCACCTCTGCTGGCTGCAATCCTGCCTCAGCCTCCCAAGCCACCTCTTGCCAGACTGCAGAGACTTGGGCAGAAGGAGGGGGAGGCGGGTTGGGGGAGCGGCACTCCACAGAGCCGTCGGCCTCACAGGCCCCCGAGGAGACAGAGTGGGAGGCAGCAGGGGCTGCGGAGGGCGGCAGCAGCAGCACCTCCCCGACCCGTGGGTGCCCAGCGACACGTCCTCCCCCACCTCTGCCCAGGGCCCCCCCCAGGCGACCACGGCTCGGCAGCCTTACTTGACGAGCTCCTCCTTGCCGTTCTCCACGTCTGGCTTCTCCTCCTCCTTCTCGGCCTCCTTCTCCTTCTCCTCCTTTTCCTCCTGGCTGCTGCGCGGGGGCGGCGGGGGCTGCTGCTGCTGCGTGGGGAGAGGAGGGCGGTGAGCTGGGCACACCGCCATCTCCGCACCTGGGCACGGCAGGCGCTGGCGGCGTGGAGGCTGTGCTCCACCAGAAGGTAGAGGCTGGGTGCCGCGAACCTCGGCCTGGGGTCCTGCAGCCCCGGAGGTGGGGGAGGCAGGGCAGGTGGAGGCGCCAGGATTGGATCCCAGGTTCTGTTCATGCCTCCTAGAGGAGGATCTTAACCTCTGTGCTCGAATTTTTCACCTTTGCAACGGGTGTGTCAGCCAGGCGTAGTGGCGCACCTGTCATCCCAGTACTCTTGGGAAGCTGAGGCAGGAGGATCACAAGTGAAGAGGCCAGGCTGGGCAAGTGATCAGGACCAGACTCAAAAGGTGCCCAGATTCCCACTCAATGCTCTGGGCCAGGCTCGGCGCTGCATTTCCAACAGCTCCCAGGCAGCTGCTGAGCACAAACCAAGTACACCCGGGACCTCACCCCGTGGCCTTTTGCATCTCCACACTGAACCAGGACTCCAGGGCCCCAGCACCTCAGAGCTCCTCACAAGGAGCAGCTGGGCTCTCTGGACACTGTGCCCCATTAAGCCGACCCAGGCTTAGTGCCCAGGCTCAGTCGGGAGCCCCTAACCACACCGGGAATCTGCGGAAACCGGCAGGATCTGTGGTTACTGGGCCCCCAGCGCCACCCCAGGGACGCTGCTTTCAGAAAACGGCATCAGTGAGCACGAAGGCCAGCACAGCCAGCCTCCGACGGGCTGTCTCCTCGCTTTGCGTCTTCTTGCTGCCCCAGTGCCCCGGCAGCCCGGGTGTCACCTCGGCCTTACAGATAAGCACAGGAAGGACAGAGGCTCCAGAGCTCACCAGGTCACACAGCACCGCCTAGCAAGACGCGACAGCCCCGTGCCCGCCTCCCACCCCGGCCAGGAGCACAGTTATAAGAACAATCCAAGACAGGTGTGGGGGCACACACCTGTCACCCCACCGCTCGGGAGGCAGCGGCAGGAGGATCACCATGAGTTTGAAGCCTGCCTGGACTACACAGCAAGACCTTGTCTCAAAAAAGCGAAAAGCTAAAATTCACAATAGCCAGCCACCCAAGTCGGACGCAGTCCTGTCCACCTACTCAGCAAAAGCCCTTCTCAGGGTCTGCCACGTGCCCAGTGCCCCCGTGCAGGGGACCCCAGGAGACTGAGGGGAGCAGAGGGGTAACGGGCCAGGGCTCAGAGCCATGACGGCCCCTCCCTCACTCCTGGCCCCTCTGTTATTTTCTTCACTGCTGGGGCTGGGCCACAGGCCCTCACACACACTCTGCTGATGAGCTGCACCCTTGGCCCCAAAGCTCATTTTAGATCCCAGACAGGACCCTGTGCAAAGGCTGGGAACACAACCTGTGGTCCTCATGGCCCCAGGCCGGGGTAGCCGGGCTCCTTCATCCTCCTGGGCGGGGCTGCCCTGCCTCAGGACCTTTGCACAAGCTGCCCTTCCTCCAACACTGTTCTTTATCATCAGCAACTAGCTTGCAGCCCATCACCTTCCCAGAGCTGCCTGGCCCTGGCTAACCTGCCCATGTGCCTTGCTCACTGGGAGTCATCTTGATGATGTCACTACTGTGGTGCCACCAACATCCCCAGGGCAGCCGTGGTCCAGGGAGGCAGACTCAGTCACAGCCTGAGTGCCTGACCCGAAAACGCCCAGCTAAGCCATGCCTCCCTCCAACCTGAGGGCTCCCAGGCTGCCTGGGTGGTGTCACACGGCCACCTCCTCCTCGGCCACAGGAAAGCTGTATTCCCTGGCCCTCCCCCACTGGCAGCCCAGGGTCTTGTACCCCGGGGTACAGCGCTTCCTACCTGCCACCCGCCACCAGCCTCCTGACAACATCCCCGTGCTCAGCCCGGCGCCCAGGATCCACCGCGTCCCCCAGTGGCTTTCGGGCACCCCCCCCAGCCACTCCCGCAGCCCAGCCTCAGTCCAGGGCGCCCCACCGGCCTCTGGCCACACCGTCTCACGGTCTCCAGAGCTCCAGGTGCAGGGAGCTGCAGAGCCTCAGCCGCTAAGCAAGGTCACCTGCTCCTTGGCTCAGAGCTGGGACAGGAGAGAGGTGGGGAGAGGCGCCCCAAAGCCACAGGGCCCCCCTCCCGCGCCTGGCCTCCTCCACCCTGGCCTCTGCTCGGCAGTCAGGCGGACCACGCCGTCCTCCACGTGTGTGTCACCACCAAAGGCACAGCACGCAGCGCTCTGCTGGCCCCACGTATCTCGGGGACGGGTCCAGGCGGCCTCGAGCCCGAGCTCCCAAAGCCCGTGTCTGCGCCTGAGCCTCCCTCCATCCCAACAGAGGAGCTCCAGAGGGAGGACAGTGTCCTGGGCCGAACACCTCGGAGGACAAGCCACCCAAGTGACCTGGCCCGCGGACCCGCACCTACAGCCGCCGCAGGGCAGGCACCGGGCAGGGGCACCAGGGCAGGCCAAGCCCCTTGAGGGATGGAGCAAAGGCGGCTCTCAAACCCAGCCCGGCCAGCGCTACCCCTGAGGAGTCCCACAGCCACCTTCCAACTTCCCAGTTCCACACACTGTCACTGTCCCCACGGAGGAAGGGACCAAGCAGGCAGCCAGAGGGCACAGCAGGGTGGGAGGGCTGCTCAGAAGGCCCGGGCCTGCGCTGCCTCACAGGGATCGGCTGAAGGACCTGTGGGGACTTCTTGGGCGGGGAGGGCGCAAGTACAAAGCCTGGGCACAAAGCAGAGCTCTGCAAACACGCAAATGTGCCAGTCACCTGGGGGACAGGCCGGGCCACCCCAACACGCCCACACGGTCCCAACCTCAGCCGTCAGCCCGAAGCACCCACTCAGCCCGGGGCTGTGCGGGAAACCCCAGGCAAGGGCAGCGGGGGGAGCCTCAGGAAGGACACCCGCTCAGGGCAGGGGTCCCACGTGGACCCCAGTCAGCACTGACCCCAAGGAGACCAGAAGCCTAACCGCAGGAAAGTTCGTGGCCGGGGTGTCCCGAACGGTCGCCACACGGTCAGCGCTGCAGGAGACAGCCCCTCCCCAGCCGCCCCCCGCAGTCCCGCGGGGGCAGGGGGCCCTGTCTCTGGGCCCCAGGATGAGCCCAGCAGCTCAGGAAGCAGCGTGCGCGAGGCGGCACAGGGCCACCGGGCCTGGGAAGAGGGGCTCTGCCCACACTCAGCCCTGCAACGCCCCGGCCCCCGAGTGCCCAACCGCAGCGCAGGGCAGTGAAGAGGCGCAGTCGCCCGGCTTCGCTGCCCGCCCTGAAGGCCGCGGTCTGCCCCCTCTAAAGGCAGAGCAACTGCTGCAGCACAGAGCAGGCGCCCGATGCCGCACCCTGTGCAGGCCACAGACACCCGGCCACCCTTCGGGGCGGCGTAGGACAGCCTCTGCTGGGCACGGAAGCCACTCATGCCATCCTCGGGGCAGCACGGCCCAGAGCCACGGGAACTATGCCAGGCCGAGGCAGCACGGCCTCTCTGCGGCCACCCACAGCAGCCTCTGCGACCGCCGGCCACCCAGGAAGGGGAGGACCCGAAAGGGGACCGGGAGAGAGCGACAGAGGCCGAGAGGCAGACTCGGCCCTGGGGCCTCTCGCACCCACCTGAGACGCAGCCCATAGAGGGACCCGGGAGCCCAAGAGCTCTAGTCTGCCCCCGACCCCAGCCCTGCGGGGACAGAGAAGCCAAGTCAGCACCTCTGCTTCCCTGGGGTGGCGAGCCGTCCCTCCTGCCGATCCACAGGCAGGGGAAGAAAGAGGCTGCCGTTTCCTCCGCCCCGTCACTTCCCGCGGCCAGGCAGGAACGGCCCACCTCCTCCCGCACTGGGACAGCCCTAGCAGAGCGCCGGTCCTTCCTCCCTGTGCCCTTTGCCGCCCCGCCAGGGCTCCCCTGAGCCCACCCTCGAGGCCCACGAAGGTGCAGGAGGGGGCCGGAGGCTGAGGGAGAGCTGGCGCGCTCCACAAACCCCTGGCAGTGTTCTGCAGACCCCTGGCGGGACCGCAGCTCCTCCTCTCGCTGCTGCGGCCCCCAGGCTCCCGGCTGCCCACGCACCTCCACGTACTCCTCCCTGCCTGGCACTGACCTACCCTCCTGACTCTGGGCTAGAAAAGCCCCCAGTGCCCTTCACCTTCCCGGGTGCCATGCCAGGTCTCCGAATCACCTGCCCGTGCCCCCAAGCCTTGGACCGTGTCGGGAATTGGTCAGCAGGGAAGCCCCAGCCACAAACCAAAGCAGCTGCCCTCACTCATCCGCGGGGACAAGCAGCGGGCCTTGGTCCCGGGCAGTTTGCCAGGACGCTCAGCACACAGCCAGGGCTGCTTCAGCCCGTCAACAAATTGGCAAGCACCGCTGACCCCCAAACCTTTGCAGTCATTCACAGAATGTTTTTCAAACCAACTTCTCCCTCTGACGCAGAAGCCTGCCAATGTTTCCCATAAAGGGCCCGAGTATGTTAGGCTCCACGGGCCCCACGGCTCCTGTCACAACAGCCGTGAGACACAAGGCTGTCGTGGTTACGGTCCCCAGAATGACGGTGGCAGTGTTCCAATAAAACTTTATTCACACCAACAGGCAAGGGGCCGGCCTGAGTCTTCGAGCAGGAACCTGTCCTCCCAGAGTCACCCCCCCCCGCCCGACACCTCTGGCGTTCACCCCTGGAGAGTGGCAACTCCAACCTCTGCCTATTTTTTCCTCTCAAAGATCCATGAAAATAAACACACGAAGCTATTAAAGCTGAAAGCCCCCCACCACCACCACCACACTGACCCGGAAAGCCCTGGCTTTAGGAATGCGGCCTCCTCATACCCACCACAACCACAGCGCCCTTGGCCAGGGGTCCAGGAATTTTCCAGGCTGAGGAAGGAAGTGACGTCGGTCCCCAGCTATACTCTGCGGCTGGCTAGACAGGGAGGACGAGCGTCCCACAAGGGTCTCCGCAAGCAGCCACGGCGCGCCCCATCCTCACCTGGCTCTTGCCGCGGCGCCGGTAGCTCCGCCTCACCAGGCTCTTGTAGTTCTCGTTCTTCTTGGTCAGGTAGTAGTAGAGGACGCACTCGGCCACTGTCTGCGGGCACAGAGAGACACGGGCATTTGAAGCAGGAGGAAGAGGCCTGGGTTCAAATCCCAGCTCTTCCACGGACCAGGTGGATGACCTGGCACCAGTGACCTAACCTCTCCGTACCTCAGTCTTCCAATCTGTAAGATGGGGATGCTAACATGTGCACCTCCCAGAACTGTCACGAATATCGAAGAAGTCACCACAAGGAGGTATGAGAGACAGATTAGCACTCAAGGTGTGAGAAGGGTTAGCACTCAAGAACCCCATGCCGCTGCTGCCATCACTAGTGGTGACAATGGCTTTGCTGAAGCCATCACTGCTCAAGGGGAAATCGGGGCCTGTGGCACAAGTCATGCACGCTCAGAGCCTCCCTGGTCCAGCTCAGGGACTCTGTCGTCTGGCTTCGGCTTCCCTTCCCCGATACCCAGGGTCCTGAACAACCCTGTCCAGGATTCAAGCGCTGGGGACTCGGTCTCGGCATCAGGCCTCGAGCACTGCTTCTTCCTCTGCCTTGACCTCCCCACACGGACCTGGGTCTGAGCCCTGGTGGCCTCCTTGTGCCCGGTGCAGGGCACCCTCACAACCCAGGATCATTGCTGGGGCCACTCCTGAGACAGCAAGCACATGCTCCCAGAACAGGCCCAGCACTGAGCCCAGACCCCACTGCAGAGTGGACAGAGGTGGGCTGGACCCCAGCTGCCCGCAGCAGAAAACCACCTCCTGGAACGGGTCACCAACACAGGCTCTCCCCCAGGAGGCCCCAGTCCAACTGGGGAGACGTTTTCTTTACGGCACTGGGGAATGAACCCAGGGCTTCTACACTGAGTTACATCCCCAGTCCTTACTTTTCTGAGCTAGAATCTTCCTTAGAATCTCCCTGCCTCAGCCTCCTAGAGTGCTGGGATTATGAGCCCACACCCACACGCTCAACTGGAATATTTTCCAGTCAGAGGCCCACACCTAACCTGAGCGGACCCGCCTGGTGGGCGTCGGACCTCAGGGATGCAAATGAACTGCCCCCGGCAGAGGGTCCCCAGCAGCGTTGGCCTCGCGCTCTGTCCAGGTCTGCCTGTCCTCACCAGTCCCACAGCGGTCACCTCCGTCACCAGCCAGCCCTCCGGAAGCTCTGCCCGGCTCCACCACCCTGGCAGCTCTTAGCCAAGGACGCTGCAACGCCCACTCGCTACCCTCGGGACCGCCGTCCCCTCCCTCTCCCCATGGCGTTGCCCAATCCCCATCTCTGGGTCCTGGGAGTCCCAGTGTCTGCCGCCGTCCACACCCGCGGCCGTAGTCACCAATTCGGAGCTATTTATAGGGCGTCTCTGACACACTGGTTTTTCAGGCCGTGAGCTATCCCTCATTTGTCCCGCCCACCTCCTCGGAGGTCATCGGCCCATCAGGGGCAGACGTGGGGACGACGGTCACCCTCTGAACCAACCGCCTGCACGGCCCACACAGATGGCAGGCCTGACGGGCCCCGCAGATGGCCTCCCATCCTGCTGCACCCCACAACACTGGGGACTGCGGGCCAACGCCAACGCCACCCACCCAGTGCCTCGGGCACAGAGAGCTGGCCACTCTCTGGGGACACTCGTGTCTCGGACCACGAGAGCCAAAGGACAGTGGCTCAGGTTTGAAGGCCAGCACGAGCCTCGAAGCCGGCTCTACAGGGGTGTGTGCACAGCTACTGATCTGGCTTTGGGGTGTCGGCGACCATGACAGAGGCCTCCGGAGATCGCTGCCCTGTTTCCTGAAGCTTCACCACACCTGCCTATTCCGTCCCCCGTTTCCCAGGATGCTCAGGGCCACCTGGGGGGCTGGCGGGCAGCCAGGCACAGGGGGCTCCGGGGATCAGGCCGCACAGCACCCCCAGCTCCCAGCGCTATCTGCTGACTGACAGGGCGTGCACAGCCCCAGGGGGGAGGCCGGGCGGGGGGACAGGATGACAGGGCCTCAGACGTGAGGAGATCCTCACAGGGCCCAGACACCGGCCCAGAACAAGGACTGAGAGGAGACACAGAGTAGGACGGCAGGTAGCTGGGGACTCACCTTCCTCTCCAGGAACGAGGCGATCAGGCCAAAGTTCTTGGGGTGCTGCATGAATCTGTGGGAGGAGGAGGGCGGGTATGAGGCTGGGCCTGAAGGGTGGCCCTGCTGGGCGACCGTGAGCACGCGGGCGCCTGCCAAGTCGTGCCCGGCTTGGCGGGCACCGCCCCACCTGGGTGTGATGCAGCAGGGGTGGGGGATGAAGCTGGGGGTGGGGAAGGAACCGGCAGGGCTTCCTTGCGTGAGTCATGGCCTAGCGCCTTTGAAATGGATTTGTTTGGCCTGCCAGAGGCGGCTTCCAGGAAAACCAGGGCATTACACGCTGCCCTTTGGTGAGGCACCCCAGTGTAGTCTGCTGTTGCTCTCTCCGGCTGGCTCTGGGAAGCTGTGCTTCGCCCAGCCCACACACCCTGCTATGGATGAGGTCATGGCATAGTGCCAGGCCTCCTTGAGAGGTGGGCCGGGCCGGGGCATGGTGCCTCGGGCAGGAGGAGCCGGGCCAGCAGGAGGTTGTGTGTGTAGACGGAGCCTGGGGGCGGGACGGGAGCTGGCACTGGGCCCGTTTCCTGGGACCTGGGACAGTCACTGGGAATGCGCTGTGCCGGGCTGGGGGTCGAGGGAGCAGGGGTAGTGGGGAGGGGATGTGCCCAGCCCCGGGAGCAGGGGCACAGGGTGGAGCCGCTCGGTCTGACCCCGAGGTCCTTTTGCTCTGCCACCTATGGGCTTTCAGGGACAAAGCCCCTCCCAGCAGGGCAAGGCACAGCTCCCGCCAAAGAGCTGGCCAGGGCAGGCTCCAAATGCAGCCGCCAGGTAGCCAGGCAGGAGGCCAGTGGCCTGCCCACTCCCAGCCAGACACCAGGGAATCCAGCGTGGCCTCATCTCTTCCTGGAGAAAACAGCATGACAAGGTCGCTGCTTCCCTGGTCCAGGATCTTGCCTGCCTTAGGCCACTGCAGAGCTAGGGCAGCTCAGAACCTTCTTTCCAGGGGCTATCTCAGAACGTTTCCCCCAGGAGCTATCTCACAACCTTCTCCCCAGGGGCTATCTCAGAACCGTCTTAGGGGCTATCTCACAACCTTCTTCCCAGGAGCTATCTCACAACCTTCTTAGGGGCTATCTTACAACCTTCTTAGGGGCTATCTCACAACCTTCTTCCCAGGGGCTATCTCACAACCTTCTTCCCAGGGGATATCTCACAACCTTCTTCCCAGGGGCTATCTCACAACCTTCTCCCCAGGGGATATCTCACAACCTTCTTCCCAGGTGAAGAGGCAGCCCAGACACTGGGCTCCAGTCCTTCAATGGACACTGGATCTAGCTAGAGGAACATGGCTAGTAGGGAGGCCCCTAACTGTGCCTCGGTTTCCCCATCCTCGGGTTCCTGGGTGCCAGTGGGGAGGCAGCCCAGCCTTTAGGTGGCAGTGATAATAAACTTGACAGTGGGGCCCCCCAGGCCCACGTCACATCCTGCATCCCCAACGCGGAGTGTGGTCCACTTGGACCCAACTTCGACTTTTCTGAGGAACGAGGTCCTTCTTCATCCCCGAGGGCCACATGCTTCCCCCCAGAACTGTCATCCAGGACCCCCAAAGCCTCTCTCAGTAGTGAGCTCCTGCTTCTGCGTCCCAGCCCCCACCCTTCCTTCCAGAGAAGCGGTGCTGTGTGGCTTCTGCGAGGTGCGCAACCTCTCTGTGCCTGTGTCTCTGGGCCTGTGTGACGGGGGTGGCTCAGCTGGGCTGCTATGCGGGGCAAGAGGGACAAAGGCCCCACACAGGGGACGCAGCACAGCCCCAGCCAGGGCTGCTCGACCAACAGTGCTTCTGGAACAAAGGAGGAGCGCAGGGCTGGGATACGCTCAGCCGAGCACGCGCCCCGCCCGCCCGCAGAGATCAGCGCCCCCTGCCTGTGCCCTCTCCACAGTGCCCCTTCACACGGGGACTGGGCTGAACTGAATCCCCCAGAATTCACGTCCAGCCTGGGTGAGGCTGTGCTGGATCCGGGGGTCCTTGAACCCATACAGCTGGTGCCCTTGTAAAACGGGACACAGACACACAGGAAAGAGAAGGGGCCGGGGCCGGCCAGCTCCCCGGGAGCCGCCGGGAGCCAGCAGCGGCCGTGGACATGGACCCCCGGCCTCCAGAGCCCTGTGCTGTGCGCCTCGCCAGGACGGGGGGACGGTGAGGGCCCGGCGTGACTCACTTCTCCCGGAAGGTCTCCTTCTCCTGCTCGCTCCACATGTTCATGACCTGGCGGTCCTTGTACACCTTCATGGGGTCGTCCATGAGCCCGTTCATGTTGATGAACTTGATGCGCTGCTGGTCGGCGTCGTACAGCATGGGCGGGATCACGGCCAGCTGCCGCATCTGCTTCTCCAGGTTCTGCGGGCACAGCAAGGCAGGGCTGGGGAGGCCCGACGGGGAAGGGCCCAGGGCAGCCGCGCGGGTGTGGAGCGTCCGGAGAGACGCACAAGGGCTGCAGCCCAGGCCCGCGGCCGGGGGAGGGGGCACGCCAAGGCGGCGGACAGGTTTGTGGAGAGCTGGCTGTAAATTAAGCGCAGCCAGCCGCCCTTATCTGCAGCCAGAGGGAGCCGTGCATCTTCCCTTCGAAAGGCAGACACCATGAAACACGGCAGGGCGCGCTCAGCCCGCCGGGCAGGTGGGACTCGGGGTTCAGATGCCCGCGGACGCTGGGGACAGCAGCAGCCCAGGGTGGGAGGAGGATCGGCCAGAGCTGGGGGTACCACAGCACCACTTGTCTGGGGGGGCCCCGGGGCTGCCTGGCAGGAGGCGGGGGCTCTTCCCGCGTCAGGATGACCCCGGGGAGGTGCCGAGCCGCCCCGGTCTCCACGACCAGCCAATTAGTGGTGATTAATGACCCATCTCCGGAGGCAGTCAGGGCCTCGCCGGCCAAGGGCAGCCAGGTCAAATGATCCAGCCACCCACACCCCACCTCCTGGCTCGGTGCGGAGGCCTCCCAGCCACAGAGCAGAGTGGGGTCCCGCTCTGACCCACTGGGGCACAGGCCATCAGGACCTCAGCATGTGGCCACTGCCCTCCCAGCCTTCCAGGGCACGTGCTCTGGCTGCCGAGCCCCTGAAGGGCGGACAGTGACTGTCCCCTGCCCCAGGCACCTCCAGCGACATGCGTGAGGCACAGGAAAGCGGGGTTTGGCCAGCACCCCTGCCCTCACCAGGCCGAGGGCAGCGTGGAGAGCAAGCACGGGGTGGACGGCACTCTGCCGACGCAGGCCCCCTCGGGGACGCCGAGCGCCAGGGCTGTGGGCTCCGCTGTGCCCTGCCCCACGGAGGGACCGAGTCTCCTCGGATCTCATTTCAATGTCAGCAGCTGCGGGGGCTCAGCTGGACAGGGCCGTAGCCACGAGACCCCCGCACGGTCCCCGGGGAGGAAGCACATGCCCCTGCGTGCACGGCCTCCTGCGGCCACCAGGGTATCAGGCACAGGGGAACGCTGCTGAGTGCCTGCCCCACAAGACCTGGGAGGGGACAAGGGGAAGCCAGCTCCTTCTCCAAAAAAGCCCTACTTCTCTGCTTCCTGGCCATCTGACCCCGTGAGCACAGCCAGGGTCACCTTGGCTGCCCCAGGTGTCCCAGTGCCCCTGGGGAGCCCCAAGGCTGGGGCAGAGCCGGGGACTGAGGCTCCTGAGAGAAGGTCCTTGCCAGGGTTCCGGGAGGCCAGGGCAGTTACTGCCCCCCCAGCCCCTCCCACCCGCTGTGCCAGCTGGGCTCGGCCAATGGGAAGCACCAAAGGGCCGAAGGGGCGGAGCCAGAGGTGTTTGAGCCCCAGTGTTGGAACCAGGCCGTGGCGCCACCCCAGGACCTCAGACGGCAGCCCAAGGGGTGAGTACAGGTTCCTGCTGGGCCCCTCCTCCCTACAGCTGAGCCAGGACTGGAGGGACGCGGGCGGGACTCACCTCCTGCTCCGACAGGCCGTCAATGATCTCCGACACCTCGTGCTCACTGCGGGCGGCCGACATGGAGAGCCCACTGCCCCGCTGCCCTACCCTGCTGGGAACCAAAGGGACACACTCAGGACCGGCCCCTGCCAGCGGGGAAGCTGGGATGTCCGGCACCCGGCACAGAGCCAAGCTCACAGCCCAGTTCACCTCCTCCCTAGAGTGAGTTCTGGTGCCTCTGTTTCGTCCCCTGTAAGTGGGATAAAGATGTGACGCCCCCCGGGCACACGGCTGTGCTCTCAGACACCTGGGAGGCTGAGGCAGGAGGATCTCAGGCTCAAGCCTGGGGCTCACCTCTGCATGCGCTCCTGCAGCTCACGCTGCTTGCGGATCTCGGGGAACTGCTTCTCGTAGTACTCGCGCACCTTGCTCTCCTTGGCACGGCGCCGCGGGTTGTTCTCTATGCGCTCCACCTTCTTCTCCCAAGCCTCCATGAGCTGGTCATAGCGCTGGCAGAACTTCTGCTCCTGAGGGGACACGGGGCGGCACTGAGGGGGCGCGGGCACCTGAGCTAGCCTCCCCACCTGTCCCCCAGGGCGCATGGACACATGGCGGATGTGCAGCCACACACACACGGTCACATACGCAGACAGGACAGGCCCCCGGGTCCATGAAGAAACCCATGGGCTCCCTAGGGGACAAGGCCACCTCTCCCCGGGAACCGGCCACCCGGTCCTGGCCTCCCCAGGGCCCGCACCCAGGGCAGAAGCCAGCACCACACAGAATCAAGAACTCCGACCTCAGGCGCAGCCTGGCCACACTTCCGCCTGTGCTCAAGACAAGGCGCCCCTCCCCCGCACCCGCCTGCCGCGCAGCCTGGAAGCCAGGATGGCACCCAGGGACGGCATCAGTCGCACCTCTGCCAGCCAGGGGAGGGCAGGGGACGAGATCTCAGGGACGCCCTCCTGGTGCTGCCTGCCAAGAGTCAGAAAGGCCCCTGGTCCTCGGGCCTGCACGCCCCCGCCCTGTGCTTCACCTGCTTCTCTTGGCTTGGTAAGTCCAGGACAGAGCCAAAGCCTTGTGCGTGCCTGCAAGCACCATGCCACCAGGCCGCCCCGGCCAGGCACCTGAGCTCCTGACCAGGGGCACCTGTGGCCTCGGAACGTGGGCGTGAAGTCTGAGCTCGGGATACCCCTGCCTGCTGAGAGGCTCAGCCAGGCTGCAAAGCCACCTGGATTCCTGGGGGAGCCAGGGTCTGCAGCCGCCTCTCCGTCTCCCGTGCGCCAGTGTCCTGCCAGACCCGCAGGGGCCTTTCACATTAATTTATTTTTATTTGTTTTAAGTTTGCAGCACTAGGGATTGAAGCCAGGGTTTCTGCATCGAGCTCCTTCCCCAGCCCTTTTTTATTATTCTGAGACAGGGTCTCATTGAATTGTCCAGGTTGGGCTTGAACTTGTGATCATCCTGCCTCAACCTCCCAGGATGCAGTGATTTCAGGCGTGTGTCACCACACCCAGCGTCATTTTTAAAAACTCAAGCCCCCTCCACCTCCACCGGCCCCTAGCTCTGTCCAGCAGCCAGAGGGACCCTGGGACATGTGACCTGCATCCCCCTCCTCCCCACAGCGACCCTGGGGACTGGTAGTGGGGCCGAGGCTGGAAGATGGGCTGTGAGCACCAGGCGCTCTTCTGTCTTAACACGGAGACTGCGTTCTTCACCGAGAATCAATACGTCTCACTGTGCTGAGAATAAAGCCTCCGCGCGCCATCCCCGCGGAGGGAACGCGTCCCGAGGTGACCCGATCCATGACTCCGCGCCAGGCGCCATCAGCCCAGACACCACACCCGTCGCCACCCGCAGCCTGTCCTGGGCCTGACCTGTCCCCAGGTCTGAGCACAGCCCACCCTTTCCAGTCACTGTCCCCCCACTCGCCCCCCCGGGGGGCCCAGAGCACCACGGCTCGGCGCTCCACCCCAAGCCCCAGCGTGGAACCTGCCTCCCAGACTCGGGGCGGGCAGCCTGGGCTCCAATCCAGCCTCCACCCCGTCACTCTGCCACTCTCTGCCTCAGTTTCCCCTCTACAGCATGCAGCTGGGGAGCTACCCAGGGCACAGAGGCAGCCAAGGTGAGTGTGCCTGGACCCGGGCTCTGAGCGCACCTCAGGTGTTCAGTGACTGCACCTCTCGCTGATGCCCTGCTCCGCCCACCCTCAGTTCTGAGAGCCTCGCTTCACTGCAGGAAGCACCTAGTTGGCACTGACTGTATACCTCAGGTCTGCGCCGGGCAGGACTAGCTGACAGCGGGTGCCTGGCAGACCTGACCCTGGGAGAGAAGCAGGGACTTGGAGGTAGAAGGGCCGGGGCGCAGGGGCAGGGGACGCTCCCGGGGCTCCCTGAGCCTCACCCACCCCCACTGCGCCCCAGCAGCCTCTGGCCCCTCTGGACTCTGATGTGGCCATGTGTCCCATCCCACCCTGCAGAGTCTGAAGACCACACAGAAACAGGCCCGACAGGAGCACAGCTGAAGTCTGCGCGGCCCCTCCAGCGCCCCCACCAGACCTCTCCGCTCAAGGAAGTGGAATCGGCTCCCGCCCACCCGCAGCCCAGGGTCGCCCCCTCATCCTCCGCCCCACGCCTCTGCTGCTGTGCGTGGGTTTTCTACCACCTGCGTGGACAGGGCCCGGCCACAGACGAGAGAGGCCAAGGACCGAGAGCCGTCCCAAGCCCGCCTGCCACTTCAGACCCGCAGGTCGGACCACGCCTCTCCTGCCTCGGCCTGCCTGCAGCCCAGGGCGCCGCGGCCCGAGGCGGCCCTGAGACTCACCCACTGCTTCCGCGCGTGGTTCCTCCGCTTGAAGTACAGGATCAGCTTCTTGCGCATGGCCTGGTTTCTGGGGACAGAGGACAGGGGTCAGGCGGGACGAGGACCCTGCAGCTCAGGCCTCATCCCCAGGGTACGCTGTCCCGCTGGGCGGCGGTGGGGGGACACAGCGGAAGAGACAGCCGGGGCGATGGTAGGGCCCCCACGGACTGCTGCTCCAAGGGAGGGGCTGCCACTGAGGAAGTCAGAGCTCAGGGCGGGGAGGGACAGGAGGCAGAGGGGAGCAGGGGGAGGGCGGGAGGGGAGGGAGCAACAGAGAGCGGGGAGTGGAGCCAGCAGGGGAGACGCCAGGGAGACAGCGATGGAGTGGGAAGTGCGAAGGGACAGACAGGAGGGAGAGGGGAGCCTGGGGACAGGGACAGGGACGAGCGGACACACACTTGGATCCACACCACCTCCACCACACACAGGGTGCCCGGTGCACCAGGGCATGGGGGACGCAGCCAGCAGGCCGGCCCCAGGGCTGCCACACCCCAAGCTCGCCCCCACCCTCCACCTGGCTGTCGCCCACCCACGCCCCACAACATTTAAACCCACAGAATGCTCAGCCGCCAGCGGCAGGCACCAGGAGGCTTCCTGCCCAGAGTCCAGGACCTCCGTGTTAGGGGACAGAAAAGGGGGACCTAGGCACTGAGGGAGGGAGTCCCTGACTGCCAGAAACCCTCCCCCAATGATGCTGAATCTGAGCAAATCTCAGATGCACCCTGACTCAGTTTTCCCATCTGCAAAATGGATCCGAAGGCACCATGCACCCATCTCTGTCATCAGCAACGACTCCAACCTCCCACCACACAGGACGTGTGGGAAAGCGGGACAGGCCCTGGCCCCCAAGAGGCGACACAGGGCGACAGGCAGGACCATGCGGCCTGCTGCAGATTTAGGAAGCCAAGCAGGCGCACGACACTGGGGTGGGGCAAGATGGCTGATGAAGCGACGCTGGTACAAAAAGCCCTGCCCCCCACCCCCGAGACGGCTGGGGACTGAGGTGGGACATCGAAGCGGAGGGGATCCCGGTCAGTGACACTGAGGGCAAAGCCCTGGGGCAGGAGCAAACTCAGACAAAGACAGCAGCAGACAGGAGAAGGCCGCGGTGGCGGGAGGGTCCTGGAGGAACAGGAGGGACGCGGGACAAGCCGTGCGTGACCAGGGCCGGCCGTGTGGGCATCTGAGCGCACCCAGCGAAGGATCTGGGCTTAAAATGAAAAGGACAACCAAGCAGGCCTACAGGTAAGCACACCCAGGCCCCGCGGGGGAAACGGCAGAGACAAAGGTCGGGGACAGTCAGGACGTGGCAGAGACTGGCACTAGCCGGAAAAGCCCCAAGAGTGAACACCCCACAGCCCACAGGTGTCACTAAGTGACGGGGTGAAGGGACTGCAGGGAGGAGGGCGCCCCGAGAAAGCCCAGGCTTCACAGAGGCGGCGAGTACCGTCCCGGCAGAGTTCGAGGAGGAAACCCGGCAGCACAGCAGGAACGAGATGGCACAGGATCCCCTCCCCAGCCTCACAGCCCAGGGTGCGGTTTAATGTGTAGGTCTTACTCTTTCTGCACTCCTAGAACTGAACCCAGGGCCTTCGCACGGAGCTACATCCTCAGCCCGTTTATTTTTTATTTTGAGACAGGGTCTCACTAAGTTAACTGTCCAGGCTGGGCTTGGACTTGCGATCCTCCTGCCTCAGCCTCCCAGAATGCTGGGATGTCAGCTGTGTGCCACCACCCCTGGCATGGTGGGGGTTTTAACAAACGTCCTCACATTCTGCTCCTCCCCCTCCGTGAGTAGGAGCCCGACTGTCCCCTGCCCAGGCTGTACTCGGGGACTCGCTTCTGAAGAACAGAGTATATGGGGAAACAGCAAGGTGACCAGGTTGGGGGGCTTTCGGCAGACACCACAGTGGCCCAGCCACCCTGGTGACTATCGCCAGCTCCCCAGGTGCCTGCTCAGATGGGAGAGGGCGAGGGGCCTCACTTCTGTGGTCTTCTCCCCGAACCCGCCATGAGGGTCCCAGCACGAGAAAACACCCGCCCGACCCACACAGGGCACGGGTGACCTGAGTGAGCGGCCCATGAACAAGGCTGAGGAGCTGTCACAGGCAGAGATGCGGGGCACACAGGAGCCGGGCCTGACCTTAGACCAAGAAGGGACACAAAGTGGGAAATCTAGTGACGACTCAGACACAGCTGGGGGCCGGCTGAGCGACAAGTGCGCGCCCTCCTCCCCTTCCGAGGAGCGAGCGGCCCCTTCCAAGGCTGGGAGAGGCTGGGCCTGAGGTTTCGCGGTGACGTGCCCGCTCCTCTCCTGCAGACCCTCACCATCTCCCAGGCAATCAGGTCAGCTTCCTGGAGGAAGGGGTCTGAGCAGAAGACGGGGTGGGGGAGATGAACCACCAAGTGGTGATGCCAAGCGGTGCGACCCCCTGGCTCCCCGAGGGGGTGGACAGAGCAGGCTGCAGCCCAGGGCCGGCCACGTCACCCTGCACGGCTCCTCAAGTCGCAGCAGAGACCAGAGACCTGCTCAGCGAAGCCTGGACCCCGGTGACCACCGCCCGCCTGAAGCCCTCACAGGCACAGGGCGGGGACATCAGGAAAACGGGGACAAGAAGGGGCAGCAGGCCACGGGGACCAGAGGACCGAGTGCTGTGGCCTAAAATCAGGCATCCTCCAGGGCTGCCCCCTACTGAGGCAGGTACCCCACGGAGACAGCAGGTGACCCCAGGAGACAGCAGGTGACTCCGTGGAGCCTGGCCCGACACCAAAAGCAGGGTGGGCAGCAGAGGGCGGGCAGCGGGGGAGCACAGGTGACCGCGCACGTCCATCCCGACTGCCCAGGCAGCAGGAAGCCAAGCGTGAAATTAGCTCCACCTCAGCGGCCTGGCACACGGACGTGGAGATGACAGTGACAGGGCTGGGCCCCGCGGGATGACCTCCGCCTGGCGGGTCGATCCACTGTCCCCGGCACGCTAGCTGTCACGTGCTGGCGTCTGTCTCTCCCTCTGCAATGTCAGGCTAAGGTCATGGCCGTGTCCCAGGCGGCGAGCGTTTGCTGAATGAATGAGGAATCCACCCCCGATCTTTGGAAGAACAGGCAGACACTTCCAGCCCAAGGCTCGATAACCAAGGTCCCTGCACCCTCAGAGATGCTGTCTGCCCTTGCAGCTGAGAAGACAGAGGCACTGGGAGTATGTGATCTGCTGCAGGGCAGCGGCTCAGGCCTGAGACCGCCCCCACTCGAGCCTGAGCACCCAAACCTCGACTGAAACCTGAGGCAGACTCAGGCTGCTCCCAGTCTGGGCAAAGCCCTCAGGCAAAGGGCTCCCTCCACACAGGGCTCCACAAGGGCTTGGCCAGGAGGCCAAGGCCCCGCCCTGCTCCCCTCCCCTCCCCCTCTCCACCCGTGTGGCCTCAGGGCCTTTGCACTGCTTCTGCCACTGTCTGCAATTCTCCTGCCCCAGACCACTCAGCCAGCGGCAACACAGACCACAGGGTTCTCTCAGGCTATCACATCGGCACTGACTGCTCAAGCTGCCACCCCACCCTCTCCTATCACCATCTTCCAACCTCCCTCTGACCAACAAAAGCTTTGTGGAATTTTTGGCCCAATAATGTTGCTATCAAAAGTCACATTCTACTTGGCCGTAGTGGCGCCTGTCTGTCATCTCAGCACTCTGGGAGGCTGAGGCAGGATGATGGCAAGTTCAAGCCCAGCCTGGGCAACTGAAGAGACTTAGTGAGACCCTGTCGCAACATGAAAAATCCAAAGGGCTGAAAAACCCAAAGATGTTGTAGCTCAGCTCAGGACTAAGGCCCTGGGTTCAATTCCCAATACCACAAATACATAAACGCACACGTCAAAGTGAAAAACACAACTAAGGTTGGTGAGTGACTCTCAGACTTTAGATAAGCTGAGATTTTCTGTTACTCAACATTTCTCCGCTGCAGAGCAAGACAGGCTGTGGATGCAGCCCTTTGCTCTGTCCCAAGGCCTAAGACACCATCAGGCACACTGTGGAACAGACGGATGGATGACGAGTGAATGGATGGACGGATGGATGAATGAATGGAGGAGTGGTGAAGCTCCGAGTGGCCCTGGCCTGTCAGCAAACACCCCCGCCCCAACCCAGCTACGAGGAGCCCGAGGCCGCCAGCCCAGCAGCTGCAGGGAACAGGGCACTGACGTGGGGACCCTGCACCCTCGGGCCCCTGGGGGGGCAAAGCCGCAGGGACTCAGCACCCCGTGCCACCCCGACATGCTGAGGCTCCACGCAACCCTGGCGGGGCTCCACAGATGCAAGATTTGCCTGGCTCCGGGGATGGGAGCGCAGCACTGCACCACCCCCCGACGCGGCCACCCCGGCCGAGCCTGGACCTGCGGAACCCCAAAGGGCGCCCTTCAAAGTCACAGGTGGGCGCCCGAGCCCCCTCCCAGTCACAAATCACGAGCACCGAGAGACCACGACCCTACAGACACTCGTCTCTGACCTCACTCCCTGCCACAAGCACGGCCACCAGGGCGAGGCCTGTGGCCCCTTTCACCTTTGGGTTCTGGATGACGACATGAGGAAACAGCCCCTCCATACCTAGGAAGCTATGCGTCCATGAATGCAACCCAGGGAAAAGCCAGGCCCATCCAGTAGCCCCACTTGAAGACGCTGTACCAACTGCCTCAGCCCAGCCCTGGTGCCCCCAAAGGTGTGTGGCACCTGACATTTGCCCCCCAGCATCTGCTGGGGTTGGGGTCCCATCGGTGGGTCGCACTGCACTGCCCACCTCCAGGCCCCCGGTTTAGTGCTTCCTAAGCGGCTGGGCAGACCCCAGGACTCGTGAGAGCCCATGCCCCGGGCAGCCGCCACCCCCTCCAGCCGGGCCCCTCTGCCCCATTCCCCCAGCGAGCCCAGCAGCCCCGCCCCGCCCCGCCCTCCACACCCCGGACTCCGGCCCTAGCCGAGAAGCCACACTCACATCTTGATGTTCTCGTGGTACTGCCGGGTGTCCGAGGGCTGGTTGTACAGGGGCTGTGGGGCAGAGAGAGGGCGTCAGTCAGCGTGGGCCACCTTGGCCTCACCCCCGCCGCGCCCCGCAGCAGCCGGCCCGGGCCCCAGAAGGGCACCACACGGGCACGGACCGGGACACAGGGACGGGCAGGGAACAGGCTGTGACGGCTGCCCTGGGCCCCCAGGCCCCCACAACCCCGCCAGGGCTCCGGGGCCACTGTGTGGGGTGTGGCAGTGCTGGTCAGGGAAGGCTCAGGGCTCACAAGGGCGCCAGCGTGAAAACCGCCGGGCGCCCCGGTCATCGTGGAAACCAAGCTCCCGGCGCCAGAGATGTCCCTTCACACGCCCCACGAGGGACCACAGCGCTGTCAGACAGTGCCGGAGGCTCAGGGGAAGGCGCGGCACAGCCAGGGACACGCAGGCACCGGGGACCAGGCCGTGCCCGGGAAGAGACACCGCGGCCGCTGCCCGTCCCGCAGCCGCCCAGAGCCCCAGGCGCTGGGTCCTCAGCGGGCTGCTCTGCTGGCCGTGGACTGGAAGCAGGCGGACGTCACCCCAAGAACGGACCCAGAGGACCCGACACCACAGGACAGCAGGGAGCCGCAGCGCCTGTGTCCGGCTGAGCTGTGGTCCCTGTGTGAAGACCCCCGGGTCTTCACACCCTGGCTCTGCCTGGTGAGTTACCGAATCCACATGGGCCTCAGTTTCTCCTTCTGTAAAATGGGGGGTGATGGGGGATGCTCCTGAGCTCTGAGCCCAGCTCCAGGCAGACTGCGATGCCCGTCCAAGAGGTGTCAGCATCGCTGCCGTCTCCGGGTACAGTGACTGCCGATGGTGTGGATTCCCATGCCTCCCGGACCCCCACCTCCTGGCCACATGCCAAGGGGACAGCTCCCAGCATAGCGAGAGTGGACGCTGTGTCCTCCATCCTCTCCCTGGCAGGTCCGGGCCACGAGCACATGGAGGCCTAGTCAACAAAAGTGCCGGGCAGGCTCCTCAGCCAGAGGGCCACAGTAAGCGGTGCGGGTACCTTGATGGGCACGGACACAAGGGCCCCAGGCTGCAGAGGGGACACCCCGTCCTCAGGCAGCGGAAGTCCCCTCACAGCTGGCGGGGGATGGGAATGGGGTGAAGCGGAACCTCACCCCAGCACCGAGGGACTCTCACTGTGCCTCCCGCCGCTGTGGACGCAGCGAGGGCCCCAGGGTCATCGCGCCAGGCGCTGGGTCCTCAGCACCACAGCGCCCTTCCCCGCCGCGGACAAGGAGCCCACCCAGGCCACTGTCTCTCCCAGCAGCAGGTCACAGGCCACCCACCCGCAATGCCCCCAGCCTGGTGTCTGAACAGGAAGGGAAGAACGGTAGTCGGGATATAGCGCAGTGGCACAAGTGCCTGTCTGGCTAGCACAAGGTCCTGAGTTGGATTACCAAATAAATAAATAAATAAATATTTAAAAAAAAAAAAAAAGAAGGGAAGAACGGGCAGGAAAAGCAGAGAGACAGAGTCAGACATCCCTCAGAAGGAGATGAGTCCCTGTGAGGGAGTGATGCCGCTGGCCTGAAGGCCCGGGTGATTCTGCTCTGCCTTTGCTGTCCCCTAAAGGCCAGGAGACTGCACGGCTCAGGCTGGCCCTGATTTACAGCCTGCCTCCTCCCTCACCGCCTCCCAGGTGAGAGCCTAGACACGTGCCTCGGGCATCTGGGCCTCAGTTTCCCTACCTGGAGAATGGGCACAGGGCAAAGAGGACCCACTCGCCGGGCTTGAGTGGCCCAGGACATTCCAGGCACAATGGCTGGTTGGCCCCAGTTTCTTAGGTAACAAGTGGCCTGAAGGGTGGGGAGGGGCCTGAAAGACCCCAGCGCACAGAACCCGGGCACGTGACAGGCAGGAGCACAGAGACGCGAGCTGCAGGTGGCAGCAGGGCCTCAGCCGGCCTCTGACTTGGCTGAGAGCAGGGCTCTAACAAGGCTGTGGAGCAGGGCTCCTCGGGTAAACTGAGGCAGGAGCAGAGGAGGCTCTGGGAGCAGCCTGGGAGCTCCCCTCAACAAGGTAACAGGCCCAGGTGGCCGTCTTGGGAGGGGCAAGAGGGGCAGGGCGGGGCACGTGCCAAGGGGACAAGGCCATGGGGATCCCCAGGACCCCCTCGTCCTCCACGGAGGCCAGAGCCAGGCTAGTGGCTCCGAGGTGACCTCCAGACCTCGGGGACCTGCACCCTCCCGGGTCCAGCAAGGACGGAGGCCCTGGCTCCACCCCAGCCAAGCCCCTAGGTCCCCGTGGCAAGGGGGACGCAGATCACACGGGGCAGAAGCCGTGTCATCGCAGCTGGGAAAGAATGGGGCGCTGGGGAGAAGGCAGGGTCCCCTGCGGGCCTGGCTCCTGGCCAGCTTGGGGCGGGGCTGAGAAGGACAAGGACAGCAGGCTGTCCCCAGGCTGCACAGCTACCAGCTGGAGTGTCACCCCAGCCCTCACCCTGCTGGTGACACCAAGTTCTTAAAATAACCCCTCGGAGCAGGAAGGAAGCCGTGACTCAGAGCAGCAGCGCAGCGAGGTCGCGGTGGCCTGCGCCTCCTGCCTCCTGCCCCGGCCAGCCTGGTCCAAGGGCTCGGGGACCCAGGAGGACGGAGAGGCGGCGCCTGCTGCCACCCCCAGTCCCCAGGGCCACCTGCAGCCGCTGTCCTCTTCCAGCCCAGCCCCGCCCCACCCAGCTCTGCAGCCCACGCCACGTCCTAGGCATCACAGGACGCCAGGGTCCCTGGTCACACCCAGGCTGCCATGGCAGAGACGCCAGGAACTGGTTCCCAACACTGCAACCCACCGACCACGGCCCTAGGAGGCAGCACCAGGACAGCCACTGGGAGACACGGCTGGACACCAGGCCTGGGAGAGACCCACCAGGCCCGGCCCCTACGGAATGGGCGGCCGCTCCCAGCCGGCTCCGCAGACCCTGCCCTTCTCCTGCAATGTGGCCTGGGCAGGGCACTGCCCTCTTGGAGCTTCGTCCTGCAAGGGGATGGTGACGCCTCCATGACACCCAGCGCAGGGCCCTGCTCTGTCCCCACCCCAGGCCACCAAGCCTAGGGCCTGCAGACATCAAGAGGACCTGAGCTGACGCCCCTCAGGCCAGACCAGAGACGGGAGACGAGCCCCTACCCCAAAGACAAGGGGACTCAGACACCCCAGGCCAACACCCCCAGGACCAGGGCACACCAACGGCCCTGGCCCGCCTTCCCCACCTGCAAGCTTGGGCCTGCATCCGCCCCAGGAACAGGGAGAAGGAGACCTGCATGCAACACCTCCAGTCCTGCCTTCCCTATTTGGCAAAAGGAGAAACTGAGGCAGGACATAGCTTACAAGCGGACCCTTAAAATGGTCCGAGCCAGCAGCTGTACCGCAGATACAGAACAGCCTGGGTCGGCGACAGGACTGTCACCCGACAGCACCCTGCACCACAGAAACTGCACGCAAGTAGCTCGGCCAGCACAGTCCTCACTGGATCCTTTCAAAGTGCCGTGCTAAGTGATCCTCTCTGGGACCCACTTCCCTGAGCCCCACGTGCACCGCAAGACCCCTGCCTGTTTCCGGGACACCAAGCAGAGGGCGTGGTAGGCAAGGCCCCACCCACGGCCTCACAACGGGCACAAAGCAGAACCTCCAGCACCGGGCCCGGGCGAGGCGAAGACATGACCCTCCCCCAGCACCGGGACCCTCTCCACCACTGTCATCCCTCACTGCACCCCTGGCTCCAGGGGACCCCCAGGGGACAACAGGGCTTCTGCTTCCCCATTCCCCGGCCGGCTCCACGAGGCTGGGTCTGCTGTGCATCGGGCTGCAGACCTGGCCCCTTCCTATCTGTGAGGCGCAACCAGCAACTGTAACCACGGCCGCAGCTGGATGCCACAGGCGGACAAAGTCCCCGCGCTGAAAACTCAGCAGTTAATCTGCACTGTCCCAAGGAGATCGGCGTGACAGGTCCCTCTTTACGGCCGAGGCAGCTGAAGCACAAGGAGGTCGACAGACCCGCTTGGGGTCACACAGCTGTTCAAGAGCAGACCTGGGAGCTGCGTCCCGACCATCTGCCAGGAGGAAAGGATCTCGTGTGGAGCTGGAGTGGAGGAACTGAACTCCGTGTATGAGCGGGTGGCCCAGGGCAGTCACTGCCAGGCACACTGCCCTGCGGCCTCCCCAGCTATCTCCCCAGCCTCTTATCAGGAGGCTGCGCTTCCTGCCCCCTTGCTGAGGCTGCCCCGGCGACGCTGGGCAGGGAACCACTCCCTCGTCCCCGCCACCTCGTGCCCCCATGCCCCACTTACCAGCTCCACCTGGGGCCCCAGGCCTTCCAGGATCCGATGGGCCGCCTCCGCCTTCTTCTGTGGTGATCAAGAAAACACGGAGATTAGAAACAGGGGCCTCCAGGAGCCGCTAGCTGGGCACGATCCACAGCCCCTCTCCCCACCTAGCCACACAAATATAGGGGCCAGGGCTGGGGAAGTAGCTCAGTGGCACAAGTGCCTGCCTGGCAAGCGCAAGGTTCTGAGTTCAGTTCCCGGTTCCAAACAAACAAACAAAAAATTACAGAGGCCGAGGCTCCCCACTGTGGCCCCGGCAAGCCCACCAAGGTCAGCGTTCCCCCGTCAGAGCCCGGCTCCCCGCCACCCCCAGGGCCCCCGGGCTGGGATGAGGGTGCAGCTCCCCGGGAGCGGCTGGGCATGTGTGGCAGCCTCAGAGCTGCAGGGGCGAGGGGAGGGAGGGGAGGAGGAGCGGGGTGACAGGAGACGGCCTTGCTAGGATCCTTATGTTTCACAATCATGTGATCCTCTCCACGGCCGCGGCCTCCCCAGGCGCGACCCGGGACTTACTAGGAAGACAGCCACGTGCAGCAGAAAGGGCTCCCTGCACACACTCAGCAGGCCGGGCCTCACGCCGCCGGGCCCGAGCCATGAAGGCAGCATTGTGCCTGCACCAGCGCCAGCACCAGCCGGGACGCCCTGTCTGCTCTGGGCCGGCCGGGCGGTGGAAGGGAGGGGTCTGCCGCCGAGAGGACAGAGGCGCAGGAAACACACAGGTCCCGGCCCGATGCTGGCTGCCCAGGGTCCTCACCCCGGTGCTGGGCACATGGACAGGCAAAGGACATCTGCCCTGTGGCACAGCCACCCCCGGGTCCCGATGACACGCATCAGTGACCCCTGTCCCACAGCGAGGAGAGCCACACCCCGGAAGGTTTCTCTCTCGGATGCACATCGAGGAGCGGGTCCTGGAGCACCCCACCTTGCAGGCAGTGAAACCAGGGCACACACAGATGGGGAGGGGGCGAAGAGGACCCCTTGCTGGCTGCAGGCTCCGGGGAGAAGACTTTGACAGCCACCCCCAGCCAGCTTGGGCTGATCCACACACGCGCGTGAGCACAAACACACACGAGCAAATGCGCACGTGTGCACACGGCCCACAGACACCAGAGCACCCGCAGCGCAGCCAGGACGGCCGGCCCTGCTCACTTCCGCCATCCCACCCGCAGGAGCCTCGGCCCTCACACCCTGCTATCCAGCTGAGGGCCTCACCACGGGAAACGGCCTCCGCCCAGTGCCCGCTCCTCCAGCCGGCCAGGTCCCGCCTCCTGCCCAGCCCTTCACCCGGAGGCCCCCGCGGCCTCCACCGCCTGCCACACCGCCCTGGAGATCAAAGACACCCGACCCCTCTCCCAGCCTCGGCGCACGCCCTGAACTCCCGGGGCTCCTGGCCACCCAGTTCCTTTCCCCGTGCCAGGCCTCCGGGTCAGGCTGGCAGCCCTGCCCGCACTGCCGTCTGTGTGCACCTGCGCCGTCTGCATGGCAGCCCCAAGGCAGGAGCGCCTGGCACAGCGGGACCGCGTGCTCCTTGGAATGGAGAATGAGCCAGGCGCGCAGAAGGGCAGGAGGCCCCGCCCGGCGGCAGGCCGCATCTCCTGCTCAGTGCTGCCCGCCGCCCTCCGCCTCCCTCCCGCAGGAAGCGGCGGGGAAGGAGCGGATTAAAATTTAATCCCACTGATCCCCCAAGGGGCTCTCAGCCCTGGCTGCTCCTGCTACAGGCAGCCAAGGGCCCCCTGCTGCCAGGCACCAGCTTCTGAGGCTCAGCCAGGCAGGGGATGCCGGAGCCCCACACCCCCAAACAGAGGGCTCTCAGGGGCAGGGCCAGCCATCCCCACCTCTCTCCCCCTCCACCACCCGTGCAGTTGCTCCAGGACCCTTCCCAAGTGCCCCTCTCAGCTGGCAGGGGACCAGGGACTGTGGATTCAGCCAGGAATAACAGAGCCAAAGACACCTCCCTCAGGGACCTTCCTGCCCCTCACCATCTGCAGAATAACCCGGCGATGGGGCCAAGAGAGACAGGGCAGCCAGAAGGGGGACCTGCAGGACAGCGGCTGGAGACAGCCATACCTGCTCCCCCGCCCAGGCTCAAGGCCTCTCCAAGCTCAATCCTGTGCCACCCCTGCCAGGGCCCTGCCCTCTCTGAGCCCCAACTGCCAGAGATTTATTTTATTTTTTTGGTACTGGGAATTGAACTCAGGATCTCACACTTGCCAGGCAGGCGCTGTGCCACTGAGCTACATCCCGAGCCCCCGACTGCCAGAGACGAAAAACAGAGTAACCGCAGCTGCGTCACTTGGGTCTGGACGGGGCTGACTGAAACCGCAAAGAGTGCGGTTCTCGCAAGAGCAGAACAAGGGTGTGACCGTGCCAGCGTGACCGTGCCAGCGAGCCCTTGCTCGGGGCCTGGCACTGTGCAAACGGCACTGGCCAGGAGCCCATTTGTCCTCGGCCTGGGCACGCAGACACGGGCTCTTGTCCCTTCCCACCAGCCAGGAAGGGAAGCACGGGGTGAAGTGACACACTCAGGTCACACTGCCAGGAAGAGCAAGCGACCGGACTCGACCCAGGCCATCGTGTCCCCTGCCCCCTCTGCTGTCCCTGAGACTGCAGTCAGTGGCGGGGTGGGGCAGGGTCCCTGGGCCCCAGAGCAGACAAGGCCCTCACACCCACCCCGGCTTGCTCTGAGCACCCACCCGGCCAGGAACTCCCAGAAAGGGCAGTGAGGAAAGACCACCTTCAACACACGCTGCCCCTCCATCCCGGGCCACCTCCGGGTCGGCAGAGACCACCGCTGGAGGACAGACCCTGCAGGTGACAGGCCACGGGCCAGTCCCGGGTCGAGGACATCCTAGCTGGGCGATCCTGGCGATCGTGCACAGAACAGAAACCTACTTTTCTGGTAGTGCTATAGACAGGCCGGACAGGAAGGGGTGGCCGATGGATGGCTGTGCTGTTGCTAGTGACGTCACTGCGATCACCTGCATCACGGGGTCACACAGTAACACAGCGCCCAGTGTGCCCACCTGTTCCTTTGGCCCGGTGCCTGCGTGCTCACGCCGCAGCCCCCAGGGGGGCCACAGGGGCAGGGCCACCCGGTCCCCAGCCAGGTCCCACAAGCTGCCGTCCCCCACGCACTGCCGGCTGGTCCTCAGACACAAGGAGGGCCGGGCTCCCGCCACGCAGTGGGAACACAGGCTTGCAGGTGGCCCGTGCGGCACCCGCCCCGGGGACGGGGAGGCTGCCTGGGGTGCGGAAGGGACGTACCCGGTTCTCATCGTAGATGATCTGTACCAGGCTGCGGTGCTTGGACTCGATGGGTGGCGGCGACACTGGCTTCTCAGGCTCAGGCGGCTTGGCGGCCTCCTCCTCCAGCTGTTGCTGTGGGACGGGACAGCGGCAGGGTGAGCCTCACGCTCCGGCAGAAGGACAAGCACAGCCCGCGGGCCGCGGCAACGCTGCCCACAGCCACTGCGGGAAGCCGGGCTGCTCCCTGCTTCCCGGGTCACCGTGGGGACTCCGCGCCTGCGGAGCGAGGGCCGGCCCCAGGCAGCCCTTCCACTCACAGGCCACCCTGGGCTGAGCGGCAAGGCAGCAGAGGCGCAGCTCGACGCCAGTGGGCCTCGACTTCCTCATCTGTAGGATGGGGCTGACCCGATCCTCCCTGATGGGGCCCTGGCAGGGGCTGAAACACCCACATGTGCAGGGCCCTGGGTCGGGCCAGGCAAGGCCAGCCACTGCCAGCCACTGCAGTCCCCACAAGTGCCATCGCGTGGGAGAGGCTGTGGACTCTGTGGCCAACGGGACCCTCACTTGCCCTCACTCGCTGTGCTGCCTTGGGAAGTGGCTCAACGTACTGAGCCCCCCTTTCTCAGCTGGAAATGAGGGTCATGAAAGCCTCTACCCTGGTGAGGACCAAAGGAGCGAATGTCCGAAGAGCACTCCCAGCAGCACACAGCACCCACTGACATTGCTGCCCCATCCTCACGATCACCGTCACCATCAGTGTCAGCATCAGCATCACCATCACCACCACCATCACCTTCACTACCACCACCACCACCGTCACCACCACCATCGTCACCATCACCACCACCACCATCATCACCGTCACCATCACCACCATCATGATCACCATCACCACAATCACCCCCACCATCTCCATCACCAACACCACCACCTTCACTACCACCATCACCATCACCATCACCAACACCATCATCACCTTTACTACCACCATCACCATCACCACCATCACCATCATCACCAACACCACCACCATCACCACCACCACCACCACCACTGTCACCATCACCATCACCAACACCATCACCATCATCACCACCACCACCACCACCATCCACCCTGCCACCTCCACACTGTTTAGGGATGCTGTTCCCTAAACACCTCAGACAGAGCATCCCGGTGTGCTGCCATCTGCTTTATACCAAAAAAGGAAGCCAAGACCAGAGAACAGAGAGGCTGGCCCCAGACCACACAGAAGGCCAAACAGAACCACACAGAACAGAGAGGCTGGCCCCAGACCACACTTCCCAGGCTGCCATCTGACAGGGTGTCCTGGTGACACCAGAACACAGCGCTCCTCCACTTGTGAGGCCCACACACCCTGGATGTGACAGAGGGGTAGAGCGTTATAAGCCCAAAATGGCAGCCAAGAAGAGTTCGTGCAGAGCAGGACTGCCTCAATCCCACAGTGACCCCTGGGGGGCCTCCGGTCTGCCTCCGCAGGCTCCCCCGAAGGGCAAAGGGAACGAAGCCTGGAAACTGAAGTACATGGACAGTGACACGCAGGGGAGACCAGAGCAAACATCGCAGAGGCGTCATATCCACGGAGACCCTGCCAAGAGGGCGGCTGTGCTCCACCCAGCAGGAATTCAGACCTCAGCTGCACCACTCGCTGCTCTGGGGCCTCCTCCCGTGAACCCCAGAAGGAAGGCGTCCTCTCCCCCAGCAGCCTGAGGCTCAGGGGAGAGGAGGCGCAAGAGGCAGCACTGCCCCGCAGGCGGGGCGGCACGGCTTCCACCAAGCCAGCCGCTGAGAGCCAAGCGGCCACCACAGCAGCTGGGACCAGAGCTTTGTTTAAAAAGAAAACAACAGGCATTGGGCAAGAATGTGGAAAAGCTGGAGCCGTCAGACATCGCTGGGAGGCTGTAAAAATGGGGCAACCGCAATGGAAGGGAGCCTGGAAATTCCTCGGCGAGGAGCTCCCTGCGGCCCAGCAATTCCTGCCGTCTACACCGGGAGAGCCCAGCACGTCATCCAAACAAACACTTGCAAACGCGTGATTCCAGCACGACAGCCGCAGGGCGGACACAGCGCCACGTCCACGCAGAGACAGGCGGATAAACACAGCGTGGCGTCCGCGACGGGATGTCCCTCGGCCACAAGGAGGTCAGCACTGGCCCAGCTGGTGCAGGCCCAACTCCCATCCCCAACCGCAGACAAGGACGGCACAGGGGGATGAAGTCCCGGCACTGCCACCAAGCAGACAGCCCCAGACTTCCGACAGGGAAGAGGCGCATGGGGGCCGCTGTGCGACCCCCCCAGAGCACAGGTACGGCAAGGCAGGTCCCAGGGGACCCAGAGCAGGTGGGCGGCCAGGAGGGACAGCAGAGACCGCAGACAGCCTGGGGCTTCCTGCAGAGGATGAAGACGCTGGGGACCAGCCGGCGTGATGCCCGCCCGGCACCGTCAACAGGCTGAACACCGCCAAGTCCCACGCTCTAAAGGACCCATCTTACACTTGGGAACGTTAGCCCCAAAAAACATCGCAGTGGAGCACAGCCAAAACCCTCACAGTGAAGCCTCCCTCAGCGTGCTGCCTGGACACCAGGCCCAAGCTGCACATGTGAGCAGGGCCCCGTGGCTGCCACACAGCCCCAAAGCCAGGTCTGGGGAAGCAGAGGCACTGTTCTCTGCCTGCCCCGCAAGGCCAGCCTGACCCCACCCGTGTCTGGCCTCTCTCAGGACACATGTGCCACTGTCCTGGAAACCCACCTGCCACTGAGGTCGGGGACAGCTGCTGGGCCACCCTAGCCCCGCGCACCCTCAGCACCGGCCAGCTCCGCTCCAGGACCCTGTGCGCCACACCACTCACTCCCTTGTGGGAGGGGATGGGCGCGAGCCCTCCCCTAGCCACACTACTGGGTCACAAAGCAGGACACACAGTGATTCACACAATGACACCACGGATGGGTGACGGATCTGGTATGTCAGCAGAGTTCCTGGAAAGGCCCCAAGAGTAAATATTTTTGGTTTTGTGGCCATGTGGTCTCTGCTGGAGAACCCAGAACTGTCACACGCGCCATGTACTCAGGGAGTGGCTGCATGCCAATAAAACTTTATTTATAAACACTGCAATGGGCCAGGTGTGACTGCGTCAGCTGAGCCTGGGAGATAGTGGCTGCCTAGCAACACAGCTTCTGTAACAGCCAGGATGTCCTCTCTGCAGGGGGGCATCTGAGCAGAGACCCAAAGATGCCAGCGAGGGAATCCCAGAAGCTCTGGGCAAAGTCAGATCATCCACTAATTTTGTATTGAATAAACTATAAATGAATACTACCAACATCACAGCCAGGCATGGTGGCACATGCCTATAATCTCAGCTCCTCAGGAGGCTGAAGCAGGAGGATCACTGTGAGTTCAAGGCCAGCCTGGGTTACACAGTAAGTTCAAAGTCAGCATGAATTACACAGTGAGACCCTGTCTCACAAAAACAAAACCCATTCATGCAGAGACATTTTCTCCACGTGTCTTTGTCTGGTTTCAACTGTGACAATGGGATTTTGTTTTCAATCTAAGGATCTCTCTCTCTCTTTAAAATCCTGGATGGCAGCTGTCACATCCATTCTACACACAAGGCAACTGAGGCTCCCCAAAACTGAGTTCCCCAAGAGAAATTATACAAACCACATTTAAACTTTCTTTTCCTCTTTTTTTTGTTCTTTTGAGATAGGGTCTCACTATGCAGTTCAGACTGAACTCACTATGTAGCCCAAGCTGGCCTCCAACTCAAGACAATCCTCCTGCCTCAGCCTCCCAAGTGCTAGGATCACGGGCATGCATATGTCACCACAGCCAGCTAACCACATTTACATTCTCCACCCCACAGTGGCCTTAGGCAGGTTTCCTGCACCTGTGGGTCAGGTGGTCACTGCACTGGGGACAGCTCGGGGGCCACGCAATAGGCACTGGGTCACCCAGCCCTCTGTCCTGGAAACAGAGTGCCTGATAAATGTCACACAGGCACACAAGCCCACTCCTCCTGATCTAGGGGTGTCTGCACATCTGTTATCCCGTTCCTAGTGTCACCTCGTGGTTGTCACCGCGGGTCCCCCCCCCCGCGCCGTGCCCGCCACACCTGCTTCTTCTTCAGCTTGGAGATCTGCTGCTCCACCATGGTGATCTCGCGGTCCACGCGGTCCATGTTCTGGATCAGCTCCTCCTTGGACAGCCGAGGGGGCGCCAGCTCCAGCTCAGCATCCGTGTGTGGGGGGCTGGGCGGGGACACAGGCTCCAGCTTGCCTGCCAGGCTGCGGTCCTGAGGGCACAGGGCACAGGGCACACTTGGGTCAGCAAGGGCGCCTGGCACGTCCCTGGCGACCAGCTCAGCTTCAGGCCCCGCACGCTGCTCCTATGTTGGGACCGCCCCCACCCCCAACCCACCGGGTCGCCCCACACCCCCTGCCCTGGCCAGGTCTCCCCCACGCCCTCTCCACCCTGCCCCCTGCTGCATTTTCCCAGGTGACACGCACCTCCTGCCTCAGGAACGCCTCCCTCTCCCCCACCTGACCACCCTCCTCTGCACACCCCACCTTCTGCATCCTCCCAGCAGGCCTAGCCCCCCCTAGAACGGGAACAGCGCCCCCACCAGGCCGGGCCTCCACAGAGACCCTCCTGACATGTGGGTCGTTTGAGCAAGTTCCAGGAGCCAAGGGTGGTACAAGCCAGCTGAGGGACTTCACATAAGACCCATGCAGGGCCCAGGAATGGGCCTGGAGCAGCCAAGAAGCCCGCCTGGCACAGAGAGACAGGTGAGCTTTCTTTTCCTCCCTTATTTTTCACATTTATAATTTTTTGTGTTACTGGGGAATAAACCCAGAGCCTTCACCCTGCGCTCCATCCCCAGCCCTATTTTTATGCTTTTATTTTGAGACCAAGTCTCGCTGAATCACTAAGTTGCTCCCAGGCTGGGCTCAACCTTGTGATCCTCCTGCTTCAGCCTCTCAGGGTGCTGAGATGACACGTGATTACTCAAGGACATCCCCGAGTCCCCCGCTAGGCTAAGCTGTGCGGGGATCTGGGCTGAGGAGGCTGGAACACAGCCCAGGGCCCAGATGCAGCCCCGTGGGCTAGCACAGACACTGGCCGCCCCATCTCGGCCCTCCCTTTCTCCGTGGGCACAGTGACATCACCTCCCAGGTGCCTGGGAGCCCGCTCAGGCCGCACCCGGCACGCCGAAGCTCAGTGGGCATGGGCCCAGTGGCAGGGCCATGCCATTCCCGCCCAGGTGCACAGCCAAGGGGGCAGCTGCTGGCCCAGGGGTCGACAGAGCCAGGCTGCGCCCCAGGCCAGCCACGCAGCTGCACCCTGGGACACAGGGGGCATTCTTCCTGGATGACTGCAGCACACAGCAGGGCCCATGCCAGCCTGTCACCCTGGCGCGGGACCGGCCTGGGTTGGCCTCCATCCCCCGCAGCCATCTGAGACAAGGACATGGCAGATGCCCAGGTCTCCTGCAGCACAGGACCCTCCAGGGAGTGTCTCGGGGCCCTCACCACAGGAGGCCGCAGGGAGCACTGTCCCTGGAGCTGGGTCACCCCTTGGCGGGCCCGGCCCGCGCCCCTTCTCAGTTCTTCCCCAAGACCAATGAGGTGATGAATGGGGGTGAGGATGTGTGCTTCAGGGCCGGGCACCCCAAAATCACGAGCAAGCTGCTCGCCCGACCCTGTGTGGCTCTCAGAAGCAGCGTCTCCTAAGCTGCCTGGGCCAGGGACAGCGCCGGGATCGAAGAAGCACCCAAAACCTGCCTTCCTGCCCAGGTCCTCCCTGGTCAAAGCCGTGACAGCAGCTGACAGAAGGAGCTGCCCCTGACAGAACACCGGCCCCCGCTGAAAGGGATGCAGCACAGACGCAGGTGGCCGGGCCCCAAACACAACGCGGAGACAGCAGCCAGGCCCCAGGGCCGGGCTGCCCGCACCACCGAGGAGCCGCCGGCCCCGGGGCCAAGCAGACGGACGTGGCCAGGCGGGGCCGGTGGTGGGGGCCGCTTCTCCTCCCAGGTGATGGGAACAGGCTGGCCCCAGACAAGAGGGGGAGGCGGCTGCAGCCCCGCAAATGGCCCAGGGCCCGGCGCCGGCAGGGAACTTCGAGGTCACCTGACCCACAGTGTGTGACAGAGGGCATTCCCTGCCACCGGCGCCCTGGCCAGCGGCCCTCCTGTTAGCCCAGGGCTGGGAGGAGGCAGCAAAGGACGGACACCCGTCACTAAGCTGCCGTCGGCCGCAACTTTCCGGTCAGATGCCCTGTGACAAAACTTCAGGGCAACATTGATTACCGTGAATGAGAGAAAAACCTGTTACTCAAAGCCAAAGCCTCCAGAGGGGAGACAGAAAGACAGCTCTCTTTCCGCAGGCCTTGCCGCTGGGAGGAGGAAGCCCTGGGTCAGAAGCTGCCGTCCGGTTAACGCACCAGGATCACACCCACCAGGCCGGGACCCGGCAGAGCCAGCGAAGGGCAGAGCTGGGGCCGAGAGGACGTGTTGCCTGGACCAGGCTCTGCCCAGAGCCAGCGGAAGCCTGGACTTCAGAGTCCGCGCTCCCGCCAGTGCGCAGGGGCTGCCTGAGCCCTGGGCCCACAGAGGCACACGGCCCAAGAGACTTTGGTGGAGCTGTTGGCAACTTCAAGGTGCCCCAGGACAAAGCCTGGTGAACTCCGAAGGGCTCCACTGACCCCGCAGGGCTGCACAAGCCCGGGGCAGGAGCGGTCGGCAAGGTGCATCCACAGAAGACGCGAAGCGGGTGCGGAGCAGGAGGCGCGTACGGAGCCTCACTCCAGTCCCGGTCGTCCAGCTGGCTCCACGCGGAGGCGCAAACCCAGCTGAAGCCGCGCTCACGTCTGCGCTCTGCACAGCCCAAGGCGGTTACAGGGCCTTCCTAGCTGAGCCGCAGGGGAGCGGCCGGGCAGAGGGCAGAGGCAGAGGCAGAGGCGGGGACACAGGAGACCAGGGCACGGCAGCCGAGAGGCAGCAGGCAAGAGCGGCAGGAAGACGCACAGCGTGGCTGCGGGGACAGACGCCCTTGAGCCACAGCGCAGGCCTTGGCCGCTCTGGGGAGCACAGCTGCAGCAGTGACGTCGCCAGCCGCAAGCCGCACACCACCTACCTGCACCCCCGCGCCTCAGCCCTCTTCCTGCGGCAGCAGTGAGAGCTCAGGGCCCTGGGCCCCGGCAGTACCCTGCGTGGGGGAATCACTCTCCCGTCCGCGACTCCAGGGAGAGCAGGTGGACAGAGCAGGGACGGGGCCAGGCCCCTGGGGACAGTGCCTGGGGGCGACACGTGACACAGGCCTCGGCAGCTTGGTGTGGCAGGCAGCAGGGCGGGGCCCACCGCAGGAGGAGTGTCTGTCCCACCAGGGGGCATGGCCAGTAGGGCCTCAAGGGGACAGGCCCCCCGGGCTCAAGGAAGCGCAGGAAGGCTCACAAGGACGAAGCAGAGCCAGGGCGCCGACAGGGCTGGACGGAGGCCAGCCCGCGGGACCCTGGAGGACGCTGACCCTGTCCTGCCTGCAGGGAGTGTGGCGGGGCGTGCCTGCCGAGGTTTAAAGGAGGAGCGAGAAAGGACAAGAGCGGGGAGGTAGGCGGGAAGCCACCGCAATGGTCGGGGCAAGCGAAGTCTGTGGCCCAGGCCCACAGAGACCAGACAGGCACGGAGACCAGCACGGGAAGACTGCGAGGCAGAGGCACGGGGTCCCAGAACGGGCTCCGCGGGGCCTACAGGAGGGGAGGGCCCTGAGCAGCAGGAAGGACGGCCGGGCTTCAGGCTTGTCCTCAGGACAGGTCCGGGACCAACAGCACCCAAGAGCAGCCAGGTGCAGGCAGCAGGATGGAGCACTGCCCCAGCGCCGTCCGCGGCACCCAACACCGCCCCTCCTTCCTGTAGGACACCACAGTGCCCCCCCACCCCAGCACCACAAGCTCGAGGGGCCCCAGGATGGCCAGCGCCTGGGGCCCAGCACCTGGCTGCTGTGCAGAGCTTGAGCGGCCAGCGAAGCCCCGTTCCACACAAGCGGGGACCCAGCCCTGACCCGGCACACAGCACAAGCCATGGGAAGACCTGGGGCCACCTGCGCCCATCAGACCCCAGCTCTCTGCTCAGTTCCCAGCCCGCCCACCCTGCGGCCAGCTGAGGCACCCACACGTCCAGTCCTGCCTTAGGGCCTTTGCTCTGGCCACCTGCAGCAGCCTCCCGGGATGGTCCCTGCAAGGGGCACCTCGCCTCTTGCTGCCAGGTCCCGCACACTCTGTGCTTGGTCCCCAATCTGTGCCTCTGCCCGAGTGGACCCCGATCCCTGCTCCCACTGACCAGGCCTACCTTGGTGAGATCCTCGGAAGCACAGGGCTGGCCTGTGGCCAGCAGTGGGGACGGGCGCAGCAGGGGGTCAGGCATCAGCTCCAGGCGCGGTCGCTTGCTCTCCATGTACTCCAGGTCAGTCTTGCCCAGCTCAGGCAGGTAGGAGTGGGACTCGGGCCTCAGGTGCAGCTCCTGGGACCTGCGGGAGGCCAGGCACGCGGCGGTGTCACACAGGAGGAGATGGGCTCGAGACCCGGCGCCCCAGGTGTCCTCCGCCAGCACCAGGAGGGCCCCACGCATAGCTGGCTTCCTGTGAGGTGATGGGCACCGAGGTCGGGAACAAGAAGGCATCATGCCAAGGCTGGCAGGGAGCGCCCACGGGGACAGCAGGATCCCGGCAGCGGCCGCACGGGTAGGAAGGCGGCAGGGCCTCCACACCCCCAGACCTCCCGCATCTTCAAAGACACAGTCCGGTGACACCACTTCCTGCCCACTGCCCAGGGAAGACATCACTAGCCAATCACCGCACTCGTGCTGTGAAACCTGGCCTGGCACTTTCTCAGTTCAGCTAGCCGCTCTGAAGAAAATGTGCAGGCCAGTCACCCCTGACCTGCTCTCTTCTCAGTCGGCCTGGAGAGGGCCTGGCCTTGCCTGAGCACACCCTGCAGAGCCAGAACGGGGGGGCCTCTGCATCCCAGGCTCCAGTCCACTCCGGAACGTGGGATGCTCTGAGCACAACTGAAACTCATCACCCTCGCCACCTCCTCTGACACCACTCCCTGCCACTACATCCCTGCCCAGGCCTGTCCCCGTGCTAGGACCTCGTCGGGACTCAAATACCAGCTCCTTCCAAGAGCCTGTTCCCAAGCCTCAGCGATGCTCTGCCGGGTCCCTCCACCATAACGCCCCTGCCTTGGAGACAGACACCACGGTCTAACCCCCCAAAACCGTGAGCCAGATAATCCTCTCCTCCTCTGAGCTGCAGATGTCCGGTGTTGTGTCCCAGCAACAAAAAGCTGGCCAACACCCCGTCCCACACCTCAGCTGTCCCCGGTACAAACCCCAGGTGGTCCACCCATGCTCCTGCTCAACCTGCTCTGGCTTGGACAAGGGAGTGAGGCTGCCGGGGCCCGGGGCAGACGGCAGGGGGCTCCGGGCCAGCTGGAGGAAGGGGCGGCGGGAGCGAAGGAGAGCCTGTGCACGCCACCCCCTCAGCCTCCATTTCCCTACACGGTGGGGACACTGCGGCCGCCTTACCGTTCATTCCCGGGTTGGAATTCAGACAACAGCGAGGGCCTCCGCCGCTGGGGCTGGATGATAGAGTTGGGTGACAGGTGCGAAGCATAGTCCCGGGGGTGGTGCTGGTACTCCAGCAGCCCCACATCCTGGGGAGGAAGCGGGAGTGAAAGTGGGCTCAAAGGAACCCTCCATCCCAAGGATCAAGTTCCAGAACGAAGCGTGCAGCTTGGGAGCGTCCGGCCCTGGCTGAGAAGCACCTGGCTTTACCAGCACACCTGTCCCCTGCCCGCTGCCTCGACGCAGGCAGCCCTGCCACGCCCGGAGGAGGCCGCTCTGGCAGGGCCGCCCGCCCGGCTGCAGCAAGAATCCCACGCGGCCTGTGGCTGCATAGCACCGCTCCACCAGGGCCCTCTGCTCCTGGGCTCTGCCGCCTGCAGATGGGACCAGGCCCTCGCACACCCTAGGCAAGCGCTCACCACTGAGCGTCAGCAACACCCGCCCAAGCTCTGCCACCTCGACCCGGACGGCCCCGGACAAGGGCTTCGCACTCAACGCGCCGGCGTCGGCCGACCCCGAGCACCTCCCTTCGCACCTGGGGGAAGGCCAGCACTACCCAAGCAGCGGCCCCGATCGCAGGCGAACACTGACCGAGCGATAGTAAGTGTTTGGTTTTCCATCTTATTTTCTTTTATTTTGGGGTTTTTAAAAATTTTTTCTTTAGCGGTACGTTTTAGATATCTGCGATGACCACATTCACCGCGGGGAGTTGTGCCTGTGTGAGACACGGCCGCGGCTCTTCTCCATCCCCCTCTCCTCCAGTCCCTCTTCCCCTCACTTCAAAAGCTTTGTTCCCATTTTCTCTTCTATTCTTTTTTTTTTTTTTTACCTTGCCCTTCTTTCTTTCCCCCTCCCCCCTCCCTCGTCCCCCTCCCCATTTGAACGTTTTCCTCCCATTTCCCAAAACCCCTAACACACTTCGCTCCTGATTTACACCTCCAGTTCCTCACAGCAGAGAAACAACGCAGCATTCGGACCTGTGTGTTGATTTATCTCACTTGAGAGTACGGTCTGGGTGCATCCATTTAGCTAGAAACGTCTCTAATTTATCTTTCTCTATACTCCACTGTATAAAAAAAACACACCTCGTTTTTATCCATTCATCGATTGATGGGCATCTGGGCTGTTTCCAAGATTTAGCTAATACAAACTGTGCTGCTATAAACATGGGTGTGCACATATTGCTGTGATATGATGCTTCGGGGAGACAGCAAGAAGGGGAACAGCTCAGTCAAACAGAATCTCAAGTTCTAGTTTTTTGAGGAGTGGAGAAGATATTTTTACAAAGACAGAAACAAGCCTCCCAACAAGAACACAACACTGGCTTCCTTCGTGTGCCAGCCCCAATTGATTAGTTCTGTCTGCCTGGAACACTCAGTTCTGCTGCGTGGGGCAAGCCATTAGTGATGTCTGACACTGGCAGGGCTGCAGGAAGGTGGGATGGCAGATGACTCAGTTTCCTCTTGGCACTGCTTCCTGGTGTTTTGTTGTTTGGATTTTTGTTTTGCAGAGCTATAATTTCCTCAATTTTGTGTAAAAATGTTGCCATTCTTTTGTTGTCTGGCTTTTTATTTGAAAGGAGACATTTCTGCAGAGAACCAAGCTGACATCAGGTAGGTGTGCAGAGAATGGATTCGTTTCAGATCCAGCAGAACATGTGCGGAGGAGGCAGGGACAGAAAGCTTCAGGGCCTCGGGGGAGGCACCCGCTGGTCCCCAATCTCAGATCTCGGGCCTCAGCGTCCTCGGCTTTGAATCGGGCACCTGGCCCAGATGGAGGGGCCTTGCACGTGCTTCTGACGTCCTGGTGCCCCCTGGAGGCTGAGCCCCCACGGCGTCTAGCACAAGGCACCGGTGCCGCAGCCAGCAGGAAGCAGGGGACACAGCAGGGACGCGCACGGCTGCCAAGCAAAGACCCTGCGCAGCGGGCGGCGGAGGTGCGGAGGGAGTGCAGCAGGCCTGCTGGCTGCCAGCAGCAGCGCTCTCCCCGCCGGCGGGCTCTCCATGCGAAAGCAAAATGAGCAAAGCAGGAACGGGCAGACGGTCTGCCTGCTGCCAGCTGGGGCGCCGAGAGGCACAGGGCGTGGGAGGCCACCACAGGCTCTGGCCTCAGTCTCCCCGTGCAGGAGGTCCGCAGTGGCCCTCCTGCAGGTGTCCACACGCGTCTCCATCCCAGGCTTGAAGTGCGGCCTTGGGACGGCTGTCAGCCCGGCGGTGCCACCCCACAAGGGCACAGGAGGCGGGACCCAGACCTGCTCTGCGCAGGACGGCACCAAGCCCGGCCAGCACACAGGGCCATGGTGGCCTGCACCAGCCCTCGTGTGGCCGGTGACACGGGAATCAGCCCCACGGATCCTTCCCCAGGGCCCAGTGAGCTCAACAAGGGCCAGAGTCAGCACTACGGCCCAAGGCCAAGGCCCAGGCAGCTTCAAGTGCTGCTGGCACAGGGCCACGCCCGCTCTAGGAGCACCGCTAAGATGCCCCGGGGAACACGCACCGCCTGGGAAAGCCCCAGACTTCCCGAGGCCACCCGGCAGGAAGAGGGATGCAGGGCCCCCACTCGTGTCCCTGCTGTGGACAATGTCCATTCAGCACCACCCAGGAGCGGGTGGGGATAGCTCAGGGTCCCAGAGGACACAGGGAGGAGGCAGGATCGCACCGGGTCCGAGCCCCGGAGAGACAGAGGACGGCGGGTGCATTGGGCTTCAGCAAAATGAAACTAGGGGATTTTTTTGTTTGTTTTTTTGAGACAGGAGCTCACTGTGTATTCCAGGCTGACCCTGAACTCACTACGTAGCCCAGACTGGCCGTGAACTTGTGATGATCCTCCTGCCTCAGCCTCCCTGAGTGCTGGAATTACAGGCATGCGCCACCATGCCCCGCGCCCAGCACCAGGAGCGTTTTGTTAGTGAACCCTCAACCCCGGGAGACGCTCAGGGCAAGACTGGGAGCCCTGATCCTGTGGAGTGGAGAGAACAGGGCCCGGGCGAGGTGTGCAGCTGGATGAGTGGGAGCCCTGACCACGTCCCAGGGCGGCTGAGGGAGGGAGCACTCTCCAGAGCCCTGGGGTCCAGCGCCGCTGGGCACTCCCATCCCCCAGCCACACTGGGCCCGGCACACCCACAGCAAAGAGCCCGCAGGAGGGGCAGAGGGTAACGGAGGCAGCCTGACCCCGCTAAAGGAGCGGCCCAGTGTCGCTCAGCAAGCTGGGAAGGAACCGTGACTTAGCGCCGCATATCAAGGTCCCTGGGGCTCCAGGGAGGACTCCCTCTCAGAGCGGCACTCCGGACAGGGCACACGGGAGAGGCCTCGGCGGTAAGGGGCACCCAAGGGACTCCTTGTGGGGGTCCTGTGGGGTGATCTAAACCCCGCCAGCACCTCGCCCCTGAGAAACTGTGCCCTCAGGCTGTGCCTCAGTTTCCTCACTCTTCCCAGTCTGAGTCCCAGCGCTCACCCGCACCATGCCTGGGACAGCAGAGCTCCGGCTCCTGAGTCCCGGGCGGCCCCAGGGAGGCGGGGGTCAGGGGTCAGGCGACGCGCCAGGAAGGGACACACAGGCCCCCGCCTCCGCCCACGGGACTGCACAGCGGCAGCCAGCAGGGCGGCCACCGCGGGTCCTCCCACACACAGCCTGCGTCACCGATGGACCAGCAGGAGAGCGGGACGTGGCAGGTGACCCTAAGCGCCTGGCAGAGGGCACCGCAGGGCAAAGGGCTGGGGCACAGAGCCCAGGACTCCCGGAGGCTGGCTGGGCCCATGGCAAGGGGCTGTGACGGGCAGGAGCAGCGCGGCAGGGGGCAGCGCAGCTGGCGTGACAGTGACAAGTACCAGTGACAGTACTACTGTCAGGCACTGTGCCAGGCACTGCGGGGAGCACCTGGGGACAGAGCCTCGGCCCTCACTGGACCGTGGGCACTGCACGCAGAAAGCGCCAGGCGGCCACGAGGGCCGCCAACGGGCACTGGACTAACACAGCACTGGTCAATGGTGTGGGTGCAACAAAGGTAACAATGACACACGTGACAGCACCTTCCTCGGCCCTGACTCCTCACAGGTGCTCCATAAACACAGACACTGAGACCCAGGGCCCTGGGCAACTGCCTTGTCCATGCCTTCACCTGAGGCTGCTCAGGGAACTTCCCTGCCTCAGCCTCCTCGCCTACAGAATGGGCTGATGCAGGAGCAGGCTGCCACGTGCGGCTCCCACAGTCCAGCCAAGGGGGTCTCCAGCCAGCAACCAGACACACCCACACTTGGCAGCGACTTGGAAGAAGGTCTCTCAGCCGTAAACCGTGGAGGCCACTGCGTCCAGGAGGCCCCAGGTTGGGCCGGGAGTCCGGGTGCGCACACTCCATGCCTGGGGTGGAAACGCCTTCCCAGGCCCCAGGGAGGCTAGCAACAGAGCAGGGAGACACACACACACGTATGCAGCGTGGCAGGAGAGGGGTAGTCAGCGCCTGGCTGCCAGGCCCACCCGGCCTCACGCCCCGCGCAGAGCACCAAGGAAGCAGCGCCCCGCGGTGTGCCGCGCAGTGGAACCGGGAAAGGCGAGCATAGGACCTGGGGTCCGAGCTCCCGCAGGGCATGAAGGGAGCCAGGAAGGACAGCAAGGAGAGGCAGGGGGAGGGTGCGGGGAGGGGTGCAGACAGCAGGCGCTCCGCTCTACACACAGACTCCACTGCCACTCAGCTCAGCCCCGCCCCAGCCTGCACCTCCCAGCTTTGTATTTCAGGACGGCTCTCGCTAGGCTGCTAAGCCGCCCAGGCTCCCGCTTGCCACCCTCCTGCCTCAGCCTCCAGAGTAGCTGTGATTGATTACAGGTATGCAACACCAACACCCTGCGCACCTTCCCAGTTTTAATGTATTTTAGATTTTTGGGGGTTTTTTTTGTTTTTGGTGCCAGGAATAGAACTCAGGACCTTACGCTTGCCAGGCAGGCACTTATGCCCCTGAGCTATATCCCTGGCCCACCTTCCCAGTTTTAAAATGGGACGCAGGAATTTTACCAAATGCCCAGGATCCAGGAAGTCACCCGCCAAGCATCCCTTGCCATGGCCACACCAGGCTGGCCCGGGGAAGGGACGGGGGCAGGAAAGTCCAGAGTTGGCGCCAGGCACACAGGCGCGCCTTACCGTGTGGGGCCGGGCAATCTGCACCGGGTAGGAGATGCCATGGGGCGGGTAGCGGGGCTCAGTGGCCCTCCAGGTCTGTGCCACAGGCTGCGTGGATCCCGACATGGCAGCAGGGGTCTGGGCAGGCTCTGGGCCCGAGCCACGCTCTTGGTCAGCACAAGGGTCAGCAGGGGGGCCCTGTCATCCGCTCAGGGGCCGCCCGTCACAGGCATCTGCGGAGAGAAAGCAGGAGGTAAGACACAAGATCCCCTGCCCCGGGCCCTCACCACTGGCACAGGGAACCAGGAACAGCCACAGAGCCTCAGGGATGGGTCCACAGAGCCACAGAGTCTGGTCAGGGCACAGCTGGCCCCTCAGAAGACACCGGGACCCAAGCGCTGAGGCTCCGTCCCCGTCCCCACTGCCACCACCTCACCGGGCAGGGCACCCTCTCTCCCAGCCTCTGGGACTTTCCAAGGCTCCAGGGCAAAGTTCTCCAAAAGTTCCTGGCAGTGGCAGCTCACAGCTGCCGGCCCGGAGGCCAGCAGAAGGGGAGACGCACACGAGTGACTGGTGGTGGTGGCCAGGTCAGCTCGGGCAGGCCACAGGTCAGAGCGTGACCCGGACACAGCCCGGCCACTGGGGCCTCCCCGGCCCACCAGGCTGTGACGCAGGACAAGATGACGTAAGGGTTACCGAGAGGCACGGGGGTCAGGGGACACCGAGGGCGGAGAAAGAGCTTGGCAGAAGTCAAGGGGGCCCGATGATGCCCCTTCGCCTGCAGACCTGGCCATGCCCACGGGCCCCTCTCCCTCCCTTTCTCTGCTGCCCCAGAACCAGGACTCACAACAGGCTCCCCAACCCAGACCTGTACACCAGGTCCCTCCGCGTACAAACCCCTCTCCCCCCACACACCCGAGCGTCACAGGGCCCAGTGTCTGGAGGCAGCCATGCGAGGGGGGCTGGGGCTACATTACAAGTGGTCGGGACAAGGAGGGGATGGGAACAGATGCCCAGTTCACTGCAACCATCCTGACCACCCCTGTCCCGCCCTGGAGCCCCCGAAAGTCATAGGCACCCTGGTGACCTGTCCCGTGGCAGTCCAAGGTAGAGGAATGCTGGGAGAAAAATCAGGATCACCACAGCCACAGAGAAGCAACAGGACCCTTGCCAACAAGACACCCGTCCAGGGCCCTGACTGCACCCCACTCCCTCCCCACCTGTGACCTGCATGGTCCTGACTTTGCGCCCCGAGCTCCAGGATTGGTCCAGGGACCGAGGCCTGGCCAATCAGATCCCTGCATTCCCAGTGCTAGCGATTGGCTGAAGGGTGTGCATGTGACAGAATCGCAGCCAATGAGGGTCAGTCGTAGACTCAGCTGGGAGACACAGAGACGAGGTATGACTTGCGGGACTAGGAGCTGGAGAAAGGAAGCCTGGAGTTGGAGCGAGGCGCGTGGGAGGATGGCAGGGTAGACGCTGGCAGCGGCCAGCCAAGGCCCGATGGCGCATGGGGCACTCCCTCCATGGCCCACCCTCGCCACCAAGGTATACAGGGGAAGCAGGTGTCGCCCAGCAGGTGACACTTCGAACGCTGACCACAGAGCACTCCAGAGCCACAGCAGACACGCTGCCCACCCCGCCACAGCAGCAGGACGCACGCGCAGCTGTGCAAGCGTGGGACGGAGCTCCCCCTCGCCATGCCTAAGCCACGCGGCCTCGGGCAGGTCACACCCCGCGAGACTGTCAGCCTGACCTTCGGCGCGTGGGGTGCTAGTGTCCCCATGTCTCAGGCTTACCACGGAGATGCCACCCCTGGGGGGTCCTCAGCCACATCCTGCGCCTCCTGTCACAAAGGCCTGGACCCAGCCGTGCCTTCCGAAGGCCACCCCACCAGCCCCAGGCAGTGTCCCCACATGCAGGGTGACCCCAAAGCTGGGGGTTCCAGTGATCCCACGGCTCCTCACCAGGAGCTGAGCAAACCCGACCTCCAGACCTGACGACCTCAAGCTTTAAGGGAAGCAGTCGGGCAGCTCCTCAACAATTTGAACCTAGAACTAATTACCGTAGGGTCAGCAGCAATTCCACACGGAGGCACACATCCTGGAGAAAGAAGCCGGGACTCCAAGCGTCGCAGAGACACACACAAGGGCCCCGAGGGCGGGCAGCAGCACCTGTGGGGGCGCTGCCAGCCAGGGACAGGGTCGCACTGCCCCAGGCAGAAGCAGGGAGCAGCGGCCAGCACGGACGCCACACCGGCGTGGGGCGTGGGGAGGGCCTGTGGGACAAGGGGAAACCCGGCCGGGTTCCCTCAAAGACAGTGCCAGACGGCACCAGGCACCCCGGGGGGCCCCGGTGACCTCTCCAAGGGCCTGGCTGCCCTGGGGTCAGGACGAGGTGGTGGGCCTCTCTGACAGACAGGCTGCTGTCCCCACCACAGGCGGCTCAGTGCTAGGTGCTGGGGACTTAGCACCAGTGACCACACAAAGAGGAGGACAGGGAAAGAGGAATATCAGGAACAAGTTCCGGAACACAGACGGGAGAGCCAGGGAAATGGGGAGGGACAGAGTGCTGGGGGGAGGGGCGCAGCCTGAGCAAGAGCCCGAGGGAGACCACGGAGCTGGGCGGGGGTGGGGGGGCACTCGAGCGCCCGGCCAGGCTAGGGATGGGCTCTGTGCTGGGGGCAATGGGGAGCCACAGAAGGTGCTTAAGGGTCAGAGTGTTTCACAGCAGGGCCTGCAGGGAGCAAGAGTAAACCATGGAGACAGGGTGGCTACTGCAAACACCCAAGCCAGGCTTGGCCCTGGCTGGATCTGGCAGCGGGAATGCAGAAGGGGAAGTGGACAGATAGCATGAAGGCTGGGGAGGAGCCGGCTGCAGCCTCGGGAAGCACTGGCCGCAGGGGACGCTGCAGCCCCAGGCCAGGCTCCCTCAGGTGCACGTCGGGCCTTCGGGGCCTGCTCGCCCCTGGTAAACCGCCGGCGTTCAATGAACGTGCAGAGCCCAGGTGGACAGGACACCCACGCCTGGCCCGGCCTTCGAGCACACACAAGCCACAGCCCCAGGTTCGGGCGCTGTGGGGTCGCTGAGGTGGGGCGCTGCCTCTCTGGCATCCGAGGGGCGCATTCCACAGATTCCCCGACGGCCGGCAGCCAGGCTCAGACCTGGACAGAGCCCCCGGGAGCTGAGGTACCCGCCGTGGGGATGATGTGGGCTGCGCTGCCCCTCGAGAAACGCCCAGGGAGCTGAGGGGCGCTGACACGGGCCTGCGGCAGCGCGGCCCAGAATCACAAACCAGACAGCGGCCACCGGGGAAGGAAGGAGTCAGCAGTCAGCGCCACTGGCTCCCTGACGTGCACAGGGCCCCCGGGGGGACACGCTGGCCCTGGTCCCCGCGGACGCAGCACCCAAGGGCAGAGAGCATTCCACACCCGCCGCGCCCCTGGAGAGCAGACGTCACCAGAGTGCAGCACGCCAGCTGGTCCCCGAGGAGACGGCAGGACCACACAGGAGCCGACCCGGAAGCGATCCCGCAGCAGGGTAGTGGCAGGGCTACCCCTGTGGGTCCAGGACTCCTCCTGCCTCTGCCAGCTTCCGCGGCCACCAGAAGACCTCGCTCCCGGCACAGAGCCGCACTGCTCCAGTCCCTGCCTGTGCTGCCACACGGCTGTCACACGGCTGCCTCCTCCGCATCCTCTCCTCTCCTCAGGTGGGTCCTACCAGGTGCAGGGCCGCCGCCAGCCCAGGGGCCCCATCTTAACTGAGGATGTCTGCGAACTTGGGCAGACCCAGCCGGTTCTCGGGCAACAGAAGCACAGCAGGGCCTGCTCCCCGGGCAGGTGCTGCGTCCACACCCACGCTGCGCACTCCGCATCCCCAGAGCCTGGTCGGCAGGAAGCGCCCGGCACATATTTACAGGACAAATCCCCCGGGGCAGCCCGGCCGAGCGGGCGCAGGGACACGTACCGCCTGCGTGCACCGGCTGGCCACGCCTCCCTTGGCTTTCCGGAGGGCTGTAAAAATGGGGGATCAGGCCAGGTGTTTGAAGGCCACCCCTAGGCCATTCCAGAGCCCAGCCCTCGGGGGACCTAACCCCGGAGAGGCCCTGCCCCTCACGCTGGTGGCCTCCCGCTCTGCCATCCCCGGTTAGAAGCACGCGCTGTGCGACCCACGCTGGGCACACAGAGCAGGTAACAGCGCCCAAGCCCCCACGCTCGGGGACGGGCCTCCCAGCAGGCGCAAAGGAGCGGCTTCAGGGCGGCAGAAGGTGGCAGTGCAGTGGGAAAACAGACCCGAGACAACGGTCCAGAAACGGGGTGCAGCGGCTGCAGTGAGCTCACGGAAAGTCACCCATGTCACCGGGGGCAGGGGAGGAGCAAGCAGCCCCGGAGGAGGGCTCCAGGTGGCGGCGGCCACACAAAGACTTGAGACGCGGGGTGGGGGGACACAGACGGAAGGCAGCGAGTGGCCAGAGCAGCCGGCAGGAGCCCAGGGCACAGGGTTGCGTGGGCTCAGGTGGCCTCTGGGAGGGATGGGCGTACAGTCCACGGGGCCCACGGGTAGCCTCCTGCATCGGGGCCACCGCCACGGTTACACCACCGTCTCTACAATGAAAGGTCCCCTCGGCTGTGTCATGCCAAGAACAGTGGGCGCAGCCTCAGGGCGTGGGGCGTGGGTGAGAGGGCTCTGGACCCTAACAACAGTGACCAGGGCCCCGGGGAACTGCATCCACCACTCACTCGAGCCGGTCCAGGATGGATGCCACCCGCAGGAAGCCACTGGTCCCCGAGGAGGAGCCCCAGCCCGGCCTGCGCTAGCTCCCCCACGAGGACGTGGGTCACCAGGCTCAGAAACCAAGGGGCACAGCCGTAGGATCGCGACCTGCCCATGCTCACCGTGGGACCAGGAAAACAAAGCCCCCCAACCGCCGGGGCTCTGCTCCAGCTCAGGCCCCTCCTACTGTGCGGGCATCAGAGCCCAAGCTACAGGGCAGAGTCACGGCAGGCTCCTGCTCACCAGGACCCAGGCCAGGGCCAGCACGCGTCTGTCAACACTGACCACACTGCCAGGTCCTCCGTGGGGACGACGGCTGAGGAGCGGAGAGGACGAGTGGCTGAGAGACAAGGGCAAGAATGGACAGCTGCAGGGAGGACGGACGGCGGACAAGGGGCGGGTGGGTAAATGGATGGATGGACGGGGAGGGAGGATGGATGGGTGGGTGGATGGGTGATGG